TAGATCTTCATCTAATATCGTTTCAACTTATCATTTTTTCTAATTCTACTAATCTTGCCAACATCGTAACAAATGTAGAAAAGCTATAAAGTCTATTATTTGAATATTATTCGGGGAGGCGTATGAGTTATTCTAGGCACTTGCCCAAAGTAACACATAATTCAATGTTTGTTTAATTTCATCTTTCGGATTCTAAATCCACGACTCTTCTATGGTTACTCAAAATGACAAATTATATCACCACCTGAGACACTGATTTAAGCAGAACTACCACCCTCTTCCAGATGCTGACAAAACATTACTCACAGGATCAGAAATCTTCGAAGTTTCGCATATCAGATTTCGCGCTTTGCAGTAATTACACGTATTTTTTTTTTTTTGTATAAATTTTAATTTTTGTAACACAATGGCATGTGATACATCGTTGAATTCGTAATAAAAAATGGAATCAGATACAGGGTGTACTTTTGTTTCGGGTCATATAAAAAAATAAAGTTGATGATGGTTTCTTGAAAACGAAACGTCGGATCTAAAAATACCATCGTGTAGTACCTTAAAAGTGCCAATGAAAAAGTGTTATTCGTTTTTTGATATCTTTTCAAATAAAGTCAGAAAAAAATAAAATTGATATTGTCAAATTCTCGTTTTTCCCAAATATCTCAGCAGGCCATGAAAATTCTTCAAGTTTCTAAACGGCATGCAAATAAGCTTTAAAGAACACAACTTTTTCCTAATTTAACCTAAGCTTTATCTCCAACAGGTACTGAGATTCCCATGCTTAGGATCCTTATCTTGGACACATTGTATACCATGTGGAATTTGCATTTTAAACTGCATTTTGAAAATTACCATCAGTATGTACATATTATGTTCTTTTTTTGAGAATAAACGCTCTGAATTATTATATTCTTTTGTCACGAACATAAATTACAGAATATCTTTTCATTGCTATCGGCTACAAACATTATCAGAGGTCATTTTTAATCTCTCTTCCATTCGGAGCAACTAGTGAAAAAATATGTCTATATCAAAATTATATTTATCGTTTACAGATTTTTTGAAAACAATATCAAATTGCTGATTTCAAAAAATGAATCAGTGGATTTTTTATTCAAACTTTATCCGAGTTTTATATACCTATTGTCCCGTTGAAATGTTAACAGGGAGTTTTTTTATGACCACACTGCATTGCTATCTTTCATATTATCAACACCGATAATTCTGGACAGTAGTATATATAATTCGACGATTTTTTGCGTGACAATTATTATCAAAAAGAGTTGTTTGATCGGTGAATTTTGTCAATAACCTGGTCTCAGGTAAATTTTTTATAAGAAAATGTTTTTTGTTCAATTTTTTGTGGTTTCAATTCAACAATTTCGACACCAGTGATAATTGAAAACACAAAGGCGTTGTTGTGATGTGAACGATGGGCGCTTGCTCGTGCAGCAGTGTTGCCAAGACTTCAAAAAATAAATTGTCAGGGGGGTACCTGCGGTCAAATTCTTAAATTTTGCTAAGATTCAAGTGTATCGTAATGTTTCTCATTGTAATACTTAATGTAAATATAATTTTATTTACCATATCTGAGAAATCTATTCGTTCTAGAAAACGGAGCTTAATTTGTATTTTGTATCTATTCGAATGTAATAATAATAGTAATTATTTTGATGGTATTTGATAATTTTTTTAAAACCTTTCAAATATAAGGAATTCATTGTGCTTCGATATGTTGTACTGGTAATGTGAATATCATCTTTTCACGCGTTTTATAACTATTATTCACCTTTATTAAAAACTGCGAACGTCTGAAAGTTATTCAGGTGCCAGTGGTTTAATAGGTATTTCATACATAAAAATCACGGTGAAAAAAAAGTCATAATTTTTTTCAATAAAAAACCATCTGAGATGAGTTAGTTAGCACTGATCTTATTGAGGTGAGTTGATTTGTTTTTAGAATTACACTCATCAATTCAAATTTGGCTCTATTCGTAACCCCTCATACATACTAACCCTGGAATAGGAATAAAAACTTGATAAAGTGACAAGCAAGATTCGAATTTCGTAAAAGCCAGATATTTATGTTATTTCGCGAAAATGAATAGAGATTCCAAATGTTCGTGAAAATCACCAAATCTGACAATATATCGATAGCTCTGGCAACACTGTCGTGCAGCATGTACATCTGTACTCTATTCTGGTTTTCTCTCGTCTCGCATGCCACCGCGCCGCCTTTATCGATGACTTGACAAACTGGCATAAGTGGCGGCGGCGGCGGAAAGTGATAACTTGTGGCCTGCCAGTGTGGAGGATTTTTGTCGATGTTACGCTTTCGCAGGTGTTTGCTCGGGTGGTTGTTTCGAAAGGGTTGCTTGCAGGAACGTTCAGGGGCGGCACATAGATTATTCAAGGGGTTGTTACTATTTCGGACTTGAAGTTTTTTTATTTTGCACTTTCAAGGGATAGTTGACAGTTCGGGGGTTCAATAGAATTGGTTCGATTATCCGAATATAATGAAATATTCACATCTTTTATAAACTTTTTTAATTAACGATGATCCTTCGAATACACGTTTACGCATAATCTATTTAGCTTAAATCAGGTAAAATATAGCAAAACATACACAAAGGTGAGAAAAGGGAAAACCATCCAGAAGACTTCAGATATGTTTTCAACTTTTTCTTGAAATTATATATCGAGTAGTGTCTGAATTCTCTGGACAGAGCATTATATTGTTTGATAAAGTTTTAAAGAAAACTACGAGAAAAGCAGGCTGTCGAGTGTTTTGGAATAATAAAAGTGTGACGGTTTCGTGTCCTCGAATTATTCTGTGATTTGATCTTTCATAAATATAATTTAGCTTTTTGTAAATGAGCTATGTATGTGTATTGACGGGTAGGTGGAGCTGCCAGGTTTATTTAAGAAGATATTAGGTAATATAAGCAAAAAATGTTTGTTGCCATCAGATGAATCTTCGTCGAATATTATGATTGAAGGTTCTACAATTTCCTCAACTAAATGGTCCAATTTCCACATGCTATCCTCTTCTTTTATAAAATGTTCAATACATTTTCGCCATTTTTCAGAATCGACATTTCTCAAGGACTCCTTCAAGAGTATTTTGATATTTATTGCTCTAAATGTCGTGTTTCTTTTTGCAACGACACAATTTCACTTTAGCCCAAACGATTTCAATGGGATTAAGTTCGTAATGATAAGGGTGCAGACGCAGAATAATAATATTTCGATTATGTGCTTTCTGCACCGTAAAACGAGCTTTATTTGAACATAGTATGAACAATAGTTTTTTTCAACCATATGATCGAAGCCTCTCAATGATATCCGCATTACTCCATGCATTAGTTAGTATTTTTGATACATTGGCATTATTTGGTACATTGCAGTATCCATCACAATCACAGAGTTATGTGAAATGAGATCTAATATTTGTTCAAAATATTCTCCGAACACATCGCCGTTGATGTGTTTATGGTAATCGCCAGAATCCTTGAACTCAACATCAATAAACCGCCCTCAACAAAACCATCAACACCTCCAATGTCGCAAGGGCTTTATCAATAATTCATATTCTACAAATAATGAACTCTAATAATCAATAAATGTCTGTAAACAGTGTAAATTCTCATGTATGTAGTACGCATCTATAAAATATATTTTCAGTTGTGTCTTGTATCAATGTACTGTTTTTCTGACACAAATATACTGCCAAGTATAAAAATGACTGGCCGTGTTAGTATGGCCCGACTCCATACTTCACAAACACAATATAATACAGTTATTATGAGTCGACTATAACTTTACACACCATTTATTAATTTTATGGCGATGTGAAGTTTAGTGGGTCAGCTAGTTGATAATAATATTAAAAAATCAGGGATCGAATATTTTGATTGATTAGTTTGAAAGAAATTGATATCAAAAATTATAGAAAAATAAATATACAATGAGTATGGAATTCAAAAATATCCCCGATCCCCGAAAGAATGAAGAGCCTTGCGTCAGAGAAAGAGGTTAATGAGAATTCGATCCAAGTACAACATTAGAGCCTGCTTCAAATTTGTAGTAGTCTGACAAAAAGCAAGCCACCAAATGCAGACGGCGGCCAAAACTAGAGTGTTACCTGTAAAACCATGAGAGCGTTGAAAGCCCGTATTGACGATCACAAGAAGAACATCAAATGAGGAGAAATCATCTACGTGAAATAAAATTGGTTTAAAATTAAATGGGAAGAAATTGCGTATACTATATTGAACAACGACCTCTAACCAAGTGGGAAAAGGCTGTCATGTAAGGACGATTGTGGATACTAACAATCCAAACGTCGTGAAGTAACTTGGTTTGAAATATTCATTGATTATTATTCATTCATTATTCATTAATCATTGTTCATTATTCAGCTTCATTATTTTATGACTATTTCATTTATTTTATTGTATACATACTTGAAATTTCATTTATTGTTCAACGAATTCATTTTTATTTCAGGTTACAATAATTCCTTTTTCTTCAAAATTAGGTATTAATTTTTGAATTTTATACTCACTGTTTAGTTGTCTCCCATCTTTGATATTCATTTCTTTCAAACTAACTCATCTGTTATTCTTAGTATTATAAATATATCATTGATTTTTTATTTTATTTTTTCTACATATAGAGCTCTCATTGAGAAAATCGCTAACTTCGCTTTCCAGGAAACACTTCTTCCAATTACAACAGTTTTGTATAGATTATTACGAAAGTTGATTGAAAAATAGACGTTAGTTATATTAGACATTTTTTACCAATGAAAAACATATAACTTTTTCAATTTCGAAATATTTTTCTGAATGGATAAAACAGACCAACATAATTGTAGACTGAGTATTTTGTTTTAACTTCTATATTCTTTTTGTTTGGAGCATACGCATGTTAGTAATATGTAATTGTATTTTTCGTTCGACTTTTTTATGAAAAATGACGCTCATATTGTTTCTTTTCAGGTAAATTCAAAAAACTCTTGGTCGGAACTTATGCCATTTTTGAAATTTCCCGTATCCTGTGTTAATGGAAGCGTAGCACTTAAGCAGATTTATTTAAGGTAAGAATAATTTATGAATAATAAGTTTTTCTATCAAAATATATAAATTTTTTCACTACTTCAAATTCGGTTTTTCTAATTCAATTATTTCAATTTCGACAACTACTTAGGTCCTTGATGTCAATAATTATGGAGTTCAAGTACAGACGTTACTTGTGCCATATACTGAACAAAATATGAGGTACAATTTACAATGCAATATTTATTCAAGTAACACTTTATCGTGATCCAATATTTTAAGTATCTATGTAAGCTATCATCTATTTTGCAACTAATTACTGTGCATTTGAGAAAAGAGGAAAGTTTTTCAACTTGGCCCTGCCAGAAAAGATATATGAAAATATCATGGAAATGGATGCATTCATTAAAAATATAATTGATTACAGACTAGTTTGTATTACGGATCGAAATTCAAGAGGGTGTTATAAATCGCTAAAGTTGAGACATTCACAATTGTGTTTGAGGCTATCAACTCAGAAATGAGTCAATAAATAAAATCATTATTCACAAACATCCAAAGATTGTAAAATGAAAGTATGTAAAAATATTGCTGTGGTCTGATCAAGAGTAGGCTCAAAATAGAATATGGAACAATATAATGCTTCAAAGAATTGGTTGGTGTACTGAGTTAATTTGTTTCTGTTAAAATCTGTTGAAATGAGTGAGAATAAACTTTGAAGTAGTTCCTATTGGAAAAATCACTAACAATTTTATTGGGATAATATAAAACAAGTAAATTACTTGCATACTGTCAACTGAATATTTCAACGAAATATTCGAATGAGTTTTTTCGACAGTCATCCGCGTTCATTGCAAGTGAACAATCTTAGGAAAATATAACAGTGCATTTTGTATCAATATAAGCATACATATCAGTGTCATCGACCAACAACCTCATTATTTGTGTAGGAATAGTCAGTAAAAACATGTTTATAAAATTGTTTGCATATATTTTTGGAATGAATGTCATGAAAAGCAAGAATCGTATAGTCGAATACATTTTCATAGAAACGTAGGATCATCTGGATTTGGATATAAAGACTGCTTGCTCAGTCCGGAAGCGTATCTGTAAATGTTGGAAAACCGAGATCTATCCCCCGTAGCGTTTGTTCTACTGATGGAATAGCAGCCAGGCCGAGTATGTTTCGGAAATAGTGATTTTTCGCCGCGACGTGGCGCTACTTATCGGCTGCAGCAGAGAGCCGAGTGTGATAAGGAAAGTGAAGGTTGATGCCGCAACCTAGCGATCCTAAGGCCAGGCCAGTCCGAGTGTCTCCAAGCCAAGCAGTCTAGTCGGATCAGACACCGTTTGGTGGACGGTCGACGTCGCTTTGTAATTGGTGTTGCCTGCCGGTGACGATGATGCTCCTTCTCCGCTCACCGGGTGTTCACTAGTTCGGTGCACCGCCGGCGCTCTCGGCCTAGCACCCTGTCCCGTCCCCGGTGCGGCAGGCACGCGAATGAATGGGCCCACCCCTCCGTTCTCTTTTCGTTTTACTCACACATACACGGGAGACGCTGTCTGCTGCCCGCTCGTTGTTCACGTGGTGCGCCACGAGGATTCCACCGAGGCGACGACAAAAGCAAGAGCTATCTAGTCGGCTCTCCGTGTGCCAGCCTTGTTTGTTTGGGTTAGGTCAGTGACAGTAGCGAAGCGACCCCGTCCAATATGATTATCTCGCTTCGGTACAGCGTATAGGTACTAACTGAATTAGCATTCGTGGTTTGCAGGTATCTGGACAGGTGGGAGAAGGTGCATTTCCTCCACGAAGAACCGGATCGGGGCAGCGATGACGACGAGGAGAGCAGGCACAAGCGCTGGTCTGCGAGGTCCCTCCATTCCGTACCGTACACATACAATTATTCCCAGCACAATGTCACGGGTGAGTATTTTTTTCAGTTTATCTTCTCCTACTGAAGCGCTTTATATATCTTGATATTGAATTCTATCATAAATGTTTGTAAATGCAAGTATAAAGCTACCACATTTTCCGGTGAAGAACAAATTACACAGTAACCGCTGTAGTATATCCATGAATATCCACAAACGTTTGTAATCCATTATTATACGTCAGCAACTAATAAAGCTCTAACGAGCAACGGTAATCGAATAAGTAATTAATAAGAACAATAAAATAATCGTTGAGTTAAAATGAAATTGTAACTGCATGTATGTCTAATTGGATATGTCAAAACAAGAATCAAATTGTTAAATTTTGCTTGATTTCGCTTGTTTCCACCATCCTACCAATGGTTAGATTCGCTTAAATACACGCGGTGCGCTTCCCGTTGTTTCTTTTAAACGTAATCGATGTTGCAGAATTCTAATTTTGCACTAACTTACAAACATGTGTACAAAGTTGGGTTGATCTCTTTGATCTCGTCGAGAGTTTTTGAAAAAACAAATGTGAATCGGTGAAAATACCAGAATAAAATCCCGGATAGTAGGCCGTGGTTGAATGGAACTTGAAGCACTAAACGTTTCGCCGCCATTGCGGCAGACATCAAAATGGTACGGGCGCTCACCGCGAGGATGAAAGTTATATCTTCAAGTTTCAGTAAGGACTGAGCCTGTTCTATTCCTGTCCTTTTTCTCAAAACTAACAATCAAAGGGACGGTCACTGTAATAATTTATTTTTCAAAAACTTACAACGAAATCCAAACGTAAATTAACAATGATTTTCAAAAAACCTACTTACATGAATATTTCGAAAAATTTATGACGTTTTTACAAATTTTCTAGTTATTCAATAAATCATTTTGAAATGATAAAATTTTTAAGTTAATTTATTGACCAAAATTGACGTGGGGCAAACATACAGAGTACGTTCAAAAATGAATACAGAAATTGATTGGTATTCTTTGAAAAACAAGGAATAATAATATATGTACCTCTTGAATTTTAGCAAAATATTTATTTCAGTTCACAACTTCATTACTTAATATCTGTATGGCAAAACGGCAAATAACTCAATTTCTTTGAAATATTGGTAGAAAGAATATGTTTCTGATTGTGTGAGTGATATTTATAATTACCAAGTTTCATGTAAAATACTGAACCAGAATGTAGCTTTCAAATTGTAAATCTCTACAGTAATAATTCGAGAGTAGTACACCTCATCTCGAAATAGAATTTCTTGGAAGTGGATCGTTCCTCTCGTGGCAAGGAATGAGTTTCAGGCGAGAATTTCCGCACTTGAACCATGTTGTGCGGTTTGCTGTCGGTCGGTCAGACGGTTTACCACATCGCAATCGCATACCGAACAACCCACGCGCTATGCGGAATCAATGATAGGAAATGCATTTTGCAATTTAGAGCTATTTACCGTCGCACTCCGACATAAATATGACTACAATCTATTTTCTTTAGCAACGGTGTGAGCAATTATTTTCAAGTGGCTACTACTCCATAGGCGTCATAATTGAGTCGTAAGAAAATGAAAAATGTAGTCTTTATTTCAAATATTGAATGTTGTTAAATGTGTAAAATTGTTGCAACGACTCATTTTACTAAGATGTTTCAGCAATGATTCAACGATTTGCAGCATGGAAATATGAAATGTTATTAGCTAATCACAATATTGGCCCAAATAGTGTTATTAAAATACCGAGTTATAAATATCTAGTTCATACTTCGCTTACATATAGAATAAACACATTCACATCATGAGAAAATGCTGTTAGGGGCCGCGTTATCATCGCAAGCAATCTCCTTTTATCATGTTTAATGTTTTATATTATATTTATATATCAGGATACTAAAAAAATGTCAGTTGAAATGAAATAATTATCGACTGCCTGCGACTACCCTACTCTCGACTGGCTCTTGGTCAGGGATCCTCAAGTTATCAAGGTATCATCTGCTATAATAAAGCACTTCAGCTATTTGGAAACACATGTAATTCCAAAGTGCTTTACATGATTACCTTACCAAAAATGCATTTTATAGTACTGAAGAATTTCTTCAACTCTAGCTATTATTGTATAGTTACTTTATTTTACTTGTACAAAAAAAAAAAAATAGATTTCACAATTTTAACTAATTTAAGCTACTTGCATATATTATCTGTCACTGTTCTTGCATCTTTTTATTATGTCTACTTAACTTCTAATAACATGTATATATACAGTAACTATACTGTATATATATATACAGTAAAGCACAATTGCTTTATGTTCGGTTCTGACTAGTCTGATAAAGTTTTATACTGTATGTACCACATGTATAAAATCTTTTAATGATGAATAAATTTCTATTCTATTCTATTCTATTCTTGAGTTCAAGTGAAAAGAATGTACTTAGAAAAATACTGGTGTTTTATATTGAACTCAAACAAACTAGAAATAGTTGAGAGAAGACTTATTCCTCTACAACTTCCATGGGACATTATGGGACAAATAGAGCTAATTTATTTTTGTAGCCTCGTTCCCCGCATGTTGTTCAAAAAGTTATAAAAGAATAATCGTTAGACTTTTAGCGAATGAACATAATGTTTTCTTCTAAACGAAGGTCATAGTAATTTGTACAAATTCAACTTTATTTTTAGACACAAACCGAGAATTTCACCATCTGGCCACCAACTTGTACAAACCGTCAGATTATGATCGTCTAGGCTTGTCTCTGATATCTCCTCTGCCGAACGAACAAGATTTTGCCATCAACGTTTGCACGCTTCTTTCCAATGATGGGAAACACACTTTGAAATTGGAGAAACATCCGAGATTAGTTGACTATCTACTTGGACACGCTGGTATATTTAGTAATAGTGAGTATATCGAGGTGGCATTTCATTTGAACAACATATATTTTTTTCTATGTTGGCTACCATGTGTATTTGTCATTAGTGCAAGTTGTCATATCTATATTATGTAGTTTACATTCGTTTGTTCATTCTTGAGGCGTGATTGTCGTTTGAAATTTGTTTGCATTGTATTCCATTTCCATGCAGTTTGCTTAAAGTTTAGTTGAAGTAAAGTTGTGAGCAACTAACATGACAACTGACACTAATGACAAACACACAGGGTAGAAAACTCAAAAAATACGATATTTTTTTACAGGCTCTCTAAGACAGTTGTTTTTGCACTTTTACAACGACATAAGAAAAACGCCAATTCACAACTTTTGGAAAGACGTGCTCGAGTCGCGGGAATTCTTGGATTTAACTGACGAAAACAAATTCAAACCCGCCAAGCAGGCCCCTGCTAAGGAACCTACCAAGACCGAGTCCCTTCTTGTCGGCGACGAACTCAACAGGGCCCTTCTAGCCCTGCAAGTGATCCCTGCGGAACCAGCCGACGAAAGGTTGAGAGTTCCTGAAGAAAACGTGTGTGATATTGTTGCAGAGACTGGCAGTGGTTGCGAACTCGATCGAGAAAATAATAATTGTGATAATTTCAAATTGAAATTGGACAGTCCCGAGGACTACGACTTGTTTTGTTTGAGAAGGTCGCTGGGCACGCAGGACTATGTGGGCCAGCGAGTGCTGCAGATTGCGACGATCTTGAGGAACTTGAGTTTCATCGAGGAGAACATCCCCGTGTTAGTAAAGAGCGTGTCGTTTGTGCGGTTCTTGTTGCTCTGCAGTAGTTCGCGATGGAATGTGCTGAGGAACCTCGGCGCTGACATGCTCAGCAACATCGCCGCCGAATTCGTCGTGAGGGACTTGCACGGCGACCTGCTCGCCTCTAATATGATCAAGATAGCAACGAACGGCCTCAAGAGCCAAGACAGGGCTTCATGTTTGTGCTCGCTCGAGGTGCTCAACAAGCTGAGCCAGAACGAACAAAACGAGGACGTGATGATGCGCTCACTGCAGTCAACCGTCTACAAGCGCGTATGTTCCTTTCTCACCATCCACGACGTCATGATGCTCATCTACACGCTCGAGTGTCTCTATTCGCTATCTTCGCTAGGTGAACGGTCGTGCACGTTCATCGTCAACAACCACGGCGTCATCGACACTCTCGTGTCACTGGTGACGGTCGAAGGGAAGAGCTACGGCCCGAAGGCGTGCATCGGCATGAAGTTGGTAGAGACACTACCCAGCAGCAATAGTCAGCCTCAGCAGCCACAACAGAGCAGCACGACGTCTTCGACGACTGGAGGCACCTCCAGCAGCACCACATCAGCTGCCAGCAGCCCCACGCCTTCCGTGACGACGTCCGCAAGTACTCCCATCGTCAGCAGTTCTCCCACTCCAAAAATGTCGACACCCGCCACTCCTGTCCGACCCGTGCAGATCGCTCCGCAGAGACTCATTCCAATCACGCCAACGTCCACCACGTCCAGTAAGTAGCATTCAATTGATTGAGTGTTTTTTTGTGATCTTACCGAATTGATCTAAGGAATAGAGAGAGAAAGAGAGAGATTTTTTGTTGTATTCCAGTCACGTTGACAACAGTACCCCAGTCAAATACGGTGATGACGCCTCAGCAACTAATCCAGCAACAACATGCCCACCAGCAGGCTATCCACGAGAATGAACAGTTCGCCCTCGCCTGGCTCAGAGCGACTTACGAACCGTGCATCAATGGTAGAATCGACCACCAAGAACTCTACAAGCACTACCTGAATTCGTGCTCCAAGATCGGCAGAAGAGGCGTTATATCTCCGTTGCACTTCCCGAGATGTGTGAGGTGAGTTTCAATAACAAACAAAAATATTGATATATATGCAACATCTACAAAGCCCTTTGTAATAAAATCCATGCTCAAACAAATTCATCAATTTAGTGCATGTGTATTCCAAGTTGAACCGTGTCTGGTGTTTTTAATTGTTCAGAAATTTTGGCTTCGACTTTGAAGCTATTTTTGAGCAGATATAAGTACACTGAGGTCTCAATCTACTCCCCAGGTCTCATCGCAAGTCTCTGCAAGGACCTCAATCTGCTTACTACAGCGTCCTATTTTTTGTTTATTTTTTTAATAAATCGTTTTAGTTGACTTGGGTTTGATTACCTGAGGTTTTACTTTGTTTATAAATGCAGGTTGCCCAGCTCTTTGACATCACTGATGTTTAAAAAATTTGCTGAATTTAATAGATTATAAATTATGAACACTGAATATGTGAAGTAGTTTAAGAAAAATATATTAAAACTCATATATTCCAGTAGATTGGTGCAAACAGTAATTTTTTTATTACCAGCCTATTTTTATTTTCTTATAAGTAAATTACATATCTGTTGATAATTTTCCCTAACATTAACTGTAATAGTTTCTTCGGGAAATGAAGATTATTATCAAAATATCTGCAGGGACTAAGAAGAGGTTTTTTTTGCTTCAGATCGATCTTCGGTGGGACAGTGGGACCAAATCCGATGAAACCCGCAAACCCGAGTGACCCACAGTACTACGATGGGATAAAGGTGCGAGACAAGCCCCTCCTAATAAACATGCCGTCCTCTTCCTCTTCCTCATTTCTCAAAACAAACACGACACCCTCTAAAAGTAGTCAACAAGTGCGCCGCAAATCGGTTCAACCCGTTCTAGTAACAACAACCCCCATGAAGCCGGCGCAGGCTCTCGCGATCGTCGCGGCGCCTGCCGAAATTAACGCCGACGAGAGCGAAAGCACGCCAATGTCTCCCGCCTCGCCAATCCTCAAGGCACAGCTCAGCGCTCCCCCCAAACAGACCAGGGAGGGGGGCGGCGTTGTCTCACCTAACACGAGTAAGGGCGATACCAAAAGCCAGGTAATCAGTTGCCTCTTGTCAGACTCGTAATTTGCCTGCTCTCACACATCTCTTTCCAGGTATATTATTTGCTGCGGGTTGGCATCTCTCTAATTCGGTTTTCTTATGATAGACAATACAACTAGAAAAGTTATTGCGAAAATCCGGTTCATGAGACCATTCTTCGACTTTATCACATAAACCAAATAGAATTTGTTGCAAACACAGAGGTAAGATCTTGTGTTTAGGTTGAATCAGAATATAGAAATAATTGGTCTCTGAGATATCAAAAAAGTAAAAATTGTGTATTATGAAAATTATCTGGATTATTGTTCCGAACATGTCTATTTTGTTATATTAAAATAAAACATTCGGTAGTGAATAAAACTCTGGACAGTTGTATTGTCTATCAGGTGGTCGGGTAATTTCTTTCATATCATCCTGTGCTTTTTTAATCACTGTAGTTAAGTAACCTCCTTTCTGTTATGTTTTTCTGTAGAAGGTTTTTCCTCTTTGTTTTCTCAACTTTGATTAGGTATGAGAAATAAATGAGACATTTATAGTAGGTAACCGCAAATATTCTTCAATGAGATTTGTTTGCGACTATTGATAATTCCAAACCCCAAATGACTTTTCTTTAGAAAAGTACAATATTCAACCCAAAAAATTTTATTTATTACTAAAATATTTCCTGGCATGTTATTATCTTGAATGTGTGGTTGTACCTGCTCTTGGACTATGTTTTTCAAATTCAATACAGACACTTATTGAGGTAGATGAGATAGAATGAATATCCTCCAAGATTAAGATACTAAATCAAGTACACTTGTTGAAATCTTGTTGACCTCTCTAATATATATTGGTGGAAGTAGTCTTTCTATATATAACATTGTATTTTATTAGGAAAGTGAAAGATTTGCTATGGTTGATTTACTGATATCTTATTGTGGTTTTCAATTTTGTCAGTATTTTTCAGCAAAAGTCTTCTCCTTTGAAATCTTGAAAGTAATAAACTTTCTAAAAAGCAATCATATCAAAAAGTTCACTTTTGTTTTACCAAAGGAAAAATGAGAGGGAGTTGAAGAACCACTGGTTTTTTATTTTTCAATTTTATCAATTAATATAATTTTCAACTTGATGTCTCTACGTTGAAACTTGTTCTGCCATCTATGAGATAACAGACCTCTCTTAATTTTTTCTCAATTCTCACACGCTACGTGGAATATCACTTGAATGTAAACGATCAGGAAATCAGGATCAGGAAAATGTAAACGACGAGGAAAATCAGTCTTTGAAATGAGGTCTTTTTTCCATGGTGGAGTTCTGATTTGTCAATTGTAAAGTAACCCAGTCAAGAAATCGAGACCGGTGAGGCAATTGGCTTTAATTGGTAAAATCAAGTTATAAATTCTAAATCAAGACTGTTGAAATGAGACAATAAAAATTCCGACTCTATAAGTTGGAATTCCAATTTGGCAACTCAAATCCAAGGTTCAGAATTATAATTTCGACTTGGTATTCTTAGAATTAGTAATAAAGCAAAGTTGAAAAAACGGCGGTTCTTTCGCGACCTTTTAAAAAGCTCCCAAAGGAGGAGGAGAATAATTTGAATTTATATAAAAAGGCGATGGCACATCCGCACCTGAGCCAGGCGCTGCTCGGTTGTAGCAGTAGCAACATGACGACGACGTCCACCACGATAGTTGCCACGTCGGCCGGGGTTAACGCCAGCAAGGAGAGTCAAGTAGGTCAGACGGCTAGCAGCACGTCTCTGATCAAGAGCCTTCTGGCTACAAAGGTAAACGATTGCATGTCGACAGTGAGCATGAGGACTGCGACAGACTGCCAAAATGTAGCTCAGGTAACATACTAATACACTAGCCTTATACATAGATCACGCATAGGAGTTTTTGAAAAAAATCTCTTTCAAGAGATAGGATCAAATTCGTAAAAAAACTCACACATTTTATCTAATTGAAAAAGTACTTTTATGGATTACTGTAACGTATTATCGACAATTTTTTATTTTTTTTGAGAAATCCTATGTTGATATGTATTCAATGACTTCTGTTCCAAGTTGTTGTTTTATAATATATGTTAGAGTAGTTGAAGAAGGGCTCATTTTTTATTTTAATATTTTGGATATTTTAGAGTATAATCCATCTTGAAATTATTTATTCAAAACATTAATTCATTTGAGGTATTCAGTTCATTACGATTAATAAATATTTTAATAACTTTTCAATCACAGATATATAGAGAACACTGAAAGAAATATTATTATTGATCTTTTGTTGGTTCAATACACTGCTGATATTATTGTCAAATCTTCCATCTTCCTGATAGCAAATTTATGAACGTTGTCTTGATGAAATTGTTCTTTATCGCAAAAAATATGTTTTGTTGCTTCAAAACACCGATAAATATCCCAATAAAACATTCTCAACTTGCTTTTTTTTGTTTTATGTTCAACACTATTGAACATCTGCTATCTTGGCTATTTTCAATTGATGATCATCTTATAACCAAATTGTGCATTCTCTTCACTACTTCTTTCAGCTTAACCTTCATACACTTCATTATTTTGACAAAACTTTTTTCAAGAAATTAGCTCCACTTTGATATTAGGTGGACCAAACATTTCAAATGAAAACATTGTACCATTCAACGATAATGGTTTTTCTTTTTTCAAATTCTTATTGGCGACTATCAAATACCGAATTAATTGAACTGAATCTTCACATTAATTTACTTTACATAATTGCTAGATTCACTTTGAGTATTCCAGTAATATTTTAAAATACTATTATTATGTGAGCAACGTTATCAAGTGTCAGTTAGAGATTAAATGGATAACATTATATATTAAAATACCTGTTGTTTGCAAAATTGATTATATTTTAGCCCCTATTTCAATTAACAGTAGATTTGTGAATATTGCCATTTCTTTTCTTTTTGGTGCATGACTTGTCATTAGTGTAAACTAACGAACGCTTTAACTATTTTTAATAAACCTGACTAATGATAGAAAAATTTATTAATTTTTTGAAAGTGATTTGTGCTGCAAATCATTTTTTTTTGATAATGAAATCTTCCCAAACCGAATGAGAAGTGTTGTGAATAACAAAATCAACAATATTCTGTTATGTATTTTGATTTGGATGGATTTGCTGTGGTTACATTATATCAGAACGGTCAGCTTTCTATTGAGAAACTGTATATGAAAGTGTTATCTAATAGAGAAAGCAATCATGTAGTCACTGTTGAATGGATAGTCATTGAATAATGTGCAGGTGGCGGCCAGACAACAGAGGCTGCTGGCCCAACAGAGTGGCGGCAATTCATCGGAAATCCAAGTGAAGAAGGAGAGCCAGAAAAGTTCGAGGCTGAACGGAGTCCGGCAGCTTTTTGCAGACAACGAAGTAGGCGATCCGTCTGTGTCTTCAACCACACAGTTTACCGGCCTGATGAAGGGCAAGAAGGAACCCCCTCAACCGCCTCCTCCTCCTTTAGCGCCGCTCAGTAACAACGTGCGCGGCAAGTCTCAGAGAATTGAGAACGAAGACAGTGATTCGATCGGAAACAACTCTCTGGCGTCTAGTTCAGGAGTTGGGACAGTGGGTAAGTCAGTCCTCAAACTTGCAATATTATTATATTTATTACAGAACATGATCCTATTATTATTATTATTATTATTATATCTTTTATTGATGTTATCAAAGCAAAGTACACAGTTTTATCTGCGGAGTAACTCAAGTCATTAGAGATCAATATAATATCATAACAATTAGATTTTAGTTTTTTACCCAAATATTTAATATGACTTTTGAATTTTAATTTATTATCTATTTCGTAAGCAAGAAACAACGTTTGAGATGTATTGTTATTTATTGCAGCAAAATGTGGTAAGACTGGTTTTGTCTAAGTTGAAAGTCAAAAAATTTGAGTTGCAGCATTGTTTTATCGATTCATTTATATTTCGATTGTACTGAAGGGTTGTTGCAGTGATTTACTAAGCCCTAGCACAAAATTATCATATTATGATGAAAAGGGTAATTTTTGCCGAGATACTCAGTGGTATATACAATAAGAAAAGTAATGGTACAAGAACTGAACCTTATGGTACTCCATACTCTATTTCTCCTAAATTAGACTTCAACCATTTCAAACCAGACATGTCTTTTTACTTTTTGATTTGCTATAAGGTGCTTTCAACAGTTTACTGTGTCTTATTATTTTCTACCTTAATGTTGTATGATATATTATTTCAGTATTTCATAAGAATTCACTTTCTTGTTATACTCTCTGATTGTTTGGTACCATGTTCATGTTTATTATCCCCATAAACATTACTTATTCTGTTAACTAGTTTAGTGATCCAATAATTTTTCTGAAAAAAGGTTAGTTGCCTATTTTAATAGAGTAAAGTGAGCTTTATCAACATAAACTATTCTATGTCACAATAGAGCAATGTTTCGCAGTGTATTTCCTTCAGTACTAAAAATAATGATGATATTCTTGATAATGATGTAAATTTGTGTTTTTTTAATAAATATACTATGTAATTGACAAGTGTTAATATATATGCTCATACTGTTGTGTAATCATCGTTCTAGGCATAGGAGGAGTGTCTTCGACAGAAGACGGCGACAATTCTCTAACGAGCTTCGAGGGACTGCTAAACGGAATCCCGAATATAGAACACCCACTGATCGAGGACAGCAACTCGAAAGATTCCGTGAAGCTGGTCGCCGGTGGCGAGATAACCATGGACAAGCCTCTTAGATTAGCCGATCTTCTAGAGAAAAAATTCGAGAAGAATTCGCCGATGCTGAACGGGAGTTTAGGAAAGGAGCTGCGCCTGGGCGAAAAATCTCTGGATTTGGTAGAGAACCACATTGAAAAAGCCCTGAGTAGAGATATCAAACAAGAGATCGATGTGAAACAAGATATGGACATCGAAGAAATCCAAATCAAAGACCAACCTCTAGAGAAGGTGACAAAGTTGAAGCGGTCCGCATCGGACGAGCTCGTCGAAATCGAACACAAGAAACCACTGTTGTCTTCGAACGTGAACGGCTCCTCCATGGCAAATTCTCCGGCCCCCGACTCGGTGTCGAGTTCGAACGGGGACGAGGGGCCCTCTACGGTGTCGACGGCGGCCGCGAAGCTCTTCGCCGATATCGCGGCTGATATCCTGGAAGACGAGGACGAGGAACAGCTGATGCAGGAAGCACAAGCAACTCCGCAAATAATCGAGGCGGCTCCGGCTCCCGTTCAGATGCCCGTGCAGGCCCCTCTACAGCAGATCATTGTAGACAACAATCAACAGATGATGTTGCAGAGACAGATCATTGTTTCGCAATCTCAGATGCAAACTTCTAATCAGGTCGTTATATCGACAGGTGAGTTTCTTGTTCTTTATTCTTTCTTTGGTTTTCTACTTCTCCAAACCTCTTTATAATTCAATATCTATAGGGAGCAGTAGTTGTTTAAAAATGACTTTCTTTGTTTCTATTCAAGTTTTACAATTTTTATATATGAGATTGGTGAAAAAGGTCTGAATCATTATTTACATTAATATTTAAAATATTTTGAAGTTTTTGAAATGAAACTAAATTATTCACATGTTTCAACATATGAACTGGAATCTACTTAAGAAGGTATTATCAGACATAATGGGAATTATGTCACGAAATATTTCACTTTCATTTCAATAACTATTTTTTTCTCTAGTTCCAATAGAAACAAAAAATCTAATTCAACAATATTCATGATCTCGAGATCACTGAGAAAGTGCAAGATTAGACCTCCTCTATATACAACAAAGTCGAGTGAAAGATATACAGATAACATTATAGAGAAACCAAAAAAATATATAACGAGTTATATAAACGTAATCCCGAATATCAACACCTAATTGATATAAAAATCTGTTTTAAAAAAAAGTTGAACATTAAGAGCAAAACCACTTTGTGAAACTAGAGATGAACAAAAGTTCACAAAATAATAGCATGCATCAATCACTTTTGCTTAATATGTCGAAATAATAATTTGTTTGAAATTAATAATGTACTCAGTATGTATCAACATGGACATCAAAAGGGAAATAAAAGAATATCCAATACTGACGTATCTCGGGGGGGTATACTACATCAATTCTTTTTGTTCTGTTTTGAAACAAATAGGCAATTTTTTTTTAAATTGGAAGTTAATCAACTTTTCAATCTTACTCTGGACTAACAATGGTTCAAAATTCATATAGAATAGAAGTTTATTCATCACTAAAGAAGTTTATTCATCACTAAAGTTCACATGTACAACATAAAAAAAGTGTAAATACATGAAACTTATTGGACTAGTCACAAAGAGAGCTTAAAAGTAATTAAAATTTACAGAATTATACATATACATTTTTGATAAGTAAAATATTAAAATATACAATGAACATCAACAATTTAAAAATTCTTGAAGAGAGTAGAACACCTTGTTTTTTAAAAATTCATTCAACCAACATTTTAGTTCATTCCTACTCATTAAACTTAACTCAGGATGAATAGCCATGAGTTTGTTATAACATTTAATACCTTGATATACATGGGAGTCTTGACCAACTCCTAATCGTGAGTATGGCTGGTATAATCTTTCACTGTTTCTTGTACAGTAATTATGTATATCTTTTTTTTTCCTCAAATAATTTTCATCTTTTTTAACATATAATATGATCTGCAGCACATAAAGTGAGGGGACTGTGAGAATTCCTAGTTGATTGAACCATTTTCTACATGATGTTTTGGAGTGCACTCCTGCCATACATCTGATAATTCTTTTTTGCATAACAAAAACTCTATTCATATGTACAGAGTTACCCCAAAACATTATTCCATAACTTATTGTCGATTGCACTATTCCAAAATAAGCCAGTTTAAGGGTTTCCAGAGATATTGTACCTTTCAATTGCCTGATGATGAAGCAACTTGTGCTTAATTTATTTGTTAGATCATTAATATGAGGATCCCATGTCATTTTTTGATCTACTTTGATACCTAGAAATTTGATGTAATTCACCTGTTCTATTGTTTGATGATCAACTCTTATTGGAGGACTGAAATCATAATTTATATTTATTGTTGTAAACACCATAAAAAATGTCTTGGACAAATTTACTAGCAATCCGTTGAACACACACCACTCACGAAAATCATTAGCACAAATATTTGCCTTGATTACAGTATCCTGTAATTTATTCTCAGAAATCAGAATATTAGTATCATCAGCATATATAATGATTTTTTTTTGGCTCAGAGCATGAATAAACCATATCATTTATAAAAATTGTGAAGAGAACTGGCCCCAATATAGACCCCTGAGGGACACCAATGTTCACAATATTTTCTTTAGATTTTTTACCGTTTATCACCACTATTTGTTGTCTGTCATGGAGATATGAAGCAATATCGTTATCAACAAATAAGATTCTATAATAAATTCATAGATATTTTATAGTTTTGATTATTGTATTTGTTTATGTACAATATTTTTTCATGTGTGTATTTTACATTTGAGTATTTCAAACATTTTCTTTTTTTGACAGTCCAACAATCCTTAGTCAAATTGAATATCAAAAGACATATTTATTAAATTTCAGTCAACTGATATTTTCAGCTGTTCACCAAATGCTATTAAGACCAAAATATATTGTTTGCTTGAGTATAGCTAATCTATTATTGAACTCATTTATGATATGGTAGAGCATGATTGACAAGCAACTTCATTCTCATTTAGGCACTCAGCTGAAGACACAAACAGGCCAGACGGTGATTGTACAGAATGCTGCAGCTCAGAGACCCGTAATGTTGCAGCAGTCGAACACTGGCCAATTTCTGCTGTCGCAGGGGCTGCAGGGCCAAATGCAGCTGGTGGCCAGCTCGCAGCCGGGCCAGTACGTCCTGCAGGGGGGCGGCGGGCAGGGCACGTACGTGGTAGCCCAGCCGCAGACGGCGGTCGTCCATGGGCAGCCGCAGACCGTTCTGGTGGCACAGACGTCCCAGCAGCAGGGCACTGGCGCCAAGACGATAATCATCTTGCAGCAGCAGCAGCAGCAGACTCCAACGGCGGCCACGCACCACCAGAAGGTCGTTGTGACGCCCCAGGGCCAGCAGATGGTCGTCACGCAAGTTCCTAGGCCAGTCGTCCACGCCTCAACAGTTTCTAATAATGTGACCGCGCCTGCCCAAAAAGCCGTCAAGGCGATCGCGAGCAGTCAGACGGCGGCCAACGGCACCACTAGCGAGGGCAACAAGTGCAGGATTATCAGAGACCTAAGTACGCCGTACATCTGCGAGTGGGGCGATTGTTGCGTGTGAGTATTTCTCAAATTATCTGAGTTGGCTAATTCATAGAGCTAAAACTATGTGAGAAGTACAAAAAAACTGGTATATTCATTACAATGATGTATTCAATAGCTTGAGACTTGTCATCAAAAACCAAATCAAATCTGCATATGATAGTTATTTGAATACCATATTAGAATCTAGATTATCTAATCCTCAATCTTTGTGGTAGACTTTTCACTATTGATTCTCCATATGAAATTGTAAGTACTTATGCAAATTTTTTCAGAGTAAATTTTGGTATTAAGTTAATGCATTATATAATATAATTTGAAGGGGTTATATTTTTTAGGAGTGATTAATTTTTGGGAAAGAAAGTTTTTGGCTTTCTACTACTCCATTTTGATAAAAAAAAAGATATTTCAAAGATAACTAGTTATATATAGTCTTCAATTATAAGCATTCAGTGTTTTCCGTGACAAAAAAATGTAAGTACCTTTCACACAATTGCTCATTTTCTTTTCATTTTTTTCTCATCATAGCTCAATACAGTAATACCCATATAAATATCAGAGATGTCATTGAAGCTTGTAATTTTAGGCCAATCAACGTACAAAGTCTAAAAAAAAATTATTGATTTTGCAGTGCAGGAGCAAATAAAATAAAATTTTGAAAGTAATCAGTTTCATTTGATAGTGCACATAGAGAAGGGATCTATTCTTATCTGATTTCATTGAATTTTATTTTGAATAATTGTAGAGACCAAAGGTTCAAATCAGCAAATGACGTTTTTCTGCACGCTTGCGCCGTCCATTGTCCGACTGGTAACGAGGAAGTAATTTGTCAATGGGATCGATGTGATAACATGAAACGAAAACGCTTCTCTCTAATGACGCACCTGCAGGATAAACACTGTACCACAGAGGTAAAAATAATTATCAATCAGTAAAATCAAAACAATATTTTTATGGATGTATACAAAACTAAATTTTTTTGTGTTGCAGATCATGAAACAGGGTTTGACTAGAAGGAAAAAGGCAGCTCATAGTACAAAGGCAGAGACTTCTGCGACAACATCATCATCGGCATCGACGACTGCCCAGCACCCCGGTTATGCGGCAGATGCAGCATTGCATGCCATTAAGAGGCATGCTTTGGAGTTCGTCAATCCTAAAGAGCTGCAAGTAAGTACCTGTTTTTTTTTTATGGCCAATTCGCGTTTATCCGGTCACGAATTTTGTTCCTCAGATGTACACTTTGACTGAATTCATGTTTGAGTTTTAATATTTAGGAAATTTTTAACTTTTTTTGATTACCATTTTTGATCCAACAATTGAATCTGACATGAATCAAGTTGAATGTGTCATTGAAAAAGTCCCTTTTGCTTCCGATAATAATAATTTGAAATACTTTGTCAAGCTGAAACCTACACCTAAGTCGAGCAACACGGGTCTGACGGCAGTCTCACCCCGTGCTGGCCCTCCGCCTCCACCCGATCAGGTGAGGTGCCATTTGCTAGTGAGTGCCAATATTTACTGCTTGATATTTCAACTGTTTTTGTTTTTCGTGATCAGTTGTTTTTAAATGGAGTTTTTTCTTTAGCTAGTATGGTATTGGTCGGTATTTGAATATGTTGCTATGAGAGTTTTTTTTTAATGGGGGTGTTTATAATTAATTTATGTGATAATGCAACACCCTATTTTATATAAATGGGCTTTTAGGAATTACTTTTATACTACTTTGACATAGTTTATAATCGTTTGTCAACAAGAACTCTTTCTTAGAACAATAAACGTATTTCCCCCTCTTTTTAAATCCTTGCTGAAGTCTGGTATTAATAATATAACATTCAACTTGTCAATTTCTTTATTTTCCTACAACACATATATTCATCATCATTTGCTCAGCTAAGGAATATTCCAAGAATTTGTGTGAATATTATATTACTGCTAATTATATCGTAGCAGTCAAAAAGCAAAATATTCATATTTTTAACAATAGTCATTATATTTTAAACACATACTTGCAAAGCAATAAACAACTTTGTTATCTCTCAGCATTTACAATTGGTGAATAATTTTATGAGTAACTTGTAAGTATATTCTAAAGATAACATAAACAAATGAAATAAAAAATATTTCTTTTCAAAACTTTTCCACAAAACTGTCCTCAAAAGGAGTTTTGGGCACAAGAATCTTTATGATATTCCTTTAGTTGAATGCGTTTCTTTCATTAGAAAATAAAAAAACAAGATTTTGTTTGCTATGTATAACTAAATACTCACAAATCCTTCTCATCATTCAACATTTTTCATTGGTACACTAATGATTATGAAAACTATAACCAAGTTGTGACTCATTTTGATGTCAGTGTTGCAAGATAGGGTCTATTTTCCAAATATTTAAATTAGTGAAACACCCTTATGCATGGTTTTTTTGTTTCGGCTGAAAAATTCTAGCACAATATTTAGTGATCTTTTAATTTAGGTAAGATTAACTGCAATTGAAACATTTCTGTGGACAGTAATGCAAACTTGTAAAACTTTATTGTTTTAGAATTTATATGTGAAACAAATTTCAAGTTATTTTTTTCTGAATGGTATATTATCGTAATATGGTCAAAATGAAATTGTTTTACAATTTTACTTAATAACATTTTTTTTATTGGCAACTGTTGTTTTTTGCATGATAAGATTTGTTAGTAGATGATTTGTATTCGTTGTGCACTCATATACCACCACTCTTTTTTACTTGACTATTTTCAAAAAATATTATTTAACTTCTGTTATCTTCAAGTATGATAAAAATATCTGTAAAAATAAAAGTTTTGTGTCCAAGAAAATTTCACAATACTATAGTTTAAAAAAACGTAACATGTTTTTCATGTGCAATAACTTCCCTATTGTTCAGTAACAATCTCACTATAAAGTGGTGATACTTGAATACTTTATGGATATTCATCAAGCATCCACCAATTCCGTCAGATATGATCGAAAATACCAATAACATCGTGTCTTCTTCTGAATCTATCAAAATGCTAGGCATTACCTTTGATTCAAAGCTCTCATGGATTTCTCATATTGATACTGTCTGCAGCAAACTTAGAAAAGGATGTTATGCACTCAAGTTTATAATTTTCTCAATTTCAAGAGGACAAATATTTGAATAAAGTATTATTATTAATCAACTCTGACATGGAAATAATTTTGAGATTGTTACCTCACCTAGGACAGGTGTTTCAAAATGTCTTCTTTGATAGGATGATTTTTTACAATAATTTCTAGACCACCGAGCATGCTAGATTGAATCATGTTTTGAAATGACGATTCTTTTTGTTCTTCTTATCAAAAGAAACCCTACATTATCAGTTGTTCTTTCAGGACGACAACGAGGGTCCTGTTACGAAGAGTATTCGTTTGACGGCATCCTTAATATTGAGGAATCTTGTTATTTACAGTAGTCATTGTAAAAGGTAAGATACTCGTTCGAGGAATTAACTTTCCGCAACAGGTTTCGTTTGTTTTTGTTGCAGGTACTTAAAATCATACGAGGCGCACCTGGCCAATGTGGCCCTCAGCAACGTGGAGTCTTCTAGAACGATCGCGCAAGTGTTGTACGATATGAACGACGGCTCGACTCACAGGTGACCTATACGCAAAGGTGTCGTCCAGTTCGTCATCGCGGCGGGGACCTCGAGTGAGATGTGAATATGAAAAAAAAAAACGGAAAGTGTGTGTAAATTATTCAATGAATGTGTACAAAAGCTAGTATATAGTAGGTTTAATTGAGCCTAATTGTTATTTTTATATTATTTAGTGTAAAGGAGGTGTTCTGAACTGTCTGGAAAACCGCCGCCCCGCCTCTCGTCAAATGAACACGAACAGTTTTATATCTGTGCAATTTGTGTTGGCTATCTCTCAACTGTCCTGTAAATAATTTGACTTTTATCATGGATTTTTGTGGTCCATCGCGTACACGGTGAAGATAGAGAGCACACATCATTTTATTTATCGTTTATCAGTATTACCTGAAGATGTATCATCGTCGATGCTTTTTTATTTCTTCAGCGAGGTACCGAATCTCTAGTTGACTGATTTTTCTTCTTCGTGTCTATGTAAAAATAAGTACCCGTCTACTAAGTTTTCATGTGCTTATATATCATATCCACCCCTTTTCATACTTACCGGTAAAATCTGTAAAATATTTACAATAATTATATGGAAAAAAATAAACTGCATTTAATGTGTGGGTGTATGTATCCGTTTCCTTATCCTTTCACCTTCTAAAAAACAATTCTCCCCAAGTCAATCAAAAGACTCCTTTTTATGACTGTTCACTGTAAACGTGAAACTCATTTACATTTACATTAATTATTTGCATTGTAAATACAAATTTCCAGACAGATTTTTCTAGTTTATTGGAAAACCAATACGAGTTTTTAAGAATCATTTGACAAATAATGATTAACATTCAAAAATAATCAACAAAGGTGGTGCAGGCGAATTCATTAAATGCACAAGTTTTTGCTAACATATCAATCACGTGAAATATGAACTCTTCTGAACAATTTTGAAAGCATTTTTTCTCTTAGCATTTAGACCAATTTTCAAAAATGTAGTTTTTGAAATGCTCAAGGTCACTTGGTAATTTTTCATAATGAGTAAGATTTTCACTGAAGACTTTAGGAAACAGGTGTATTTTTCAAAATATATGTGTGTATGAACACGCCCGAGGAAGCAAAATACGTGTTGCTGTTTTGTAAACTGTTCTACAAAAATCACACGAAGTGTTAGGCCGTGGTCCGAATCACTCTCATAGCGTACCAACGCTCGGTCCGATTCGTGCTTTTCACGCTCACCGTTAGCGTTGTGAACGCTATGACGTCACACCATAGTGCTCACAGATCAGACCGTTAGCACTGTGAACATTGACGTTATTTTACACCATTTATTTGAACTATCGAGTGTTTGATTTCTGTGAATTCAAGCGTCCCAAATGAAATTTATTAAAATGTCAGAGAGTTTTTCCGTGTCAATTGAAGAAACTGGCGAGATAGAAAATCTGGGAATAGTTTCTTCGACGTAACATTGAATACGAGGTCTAAGCTCCAATTTTCCTCACTTCTCACAATTCACGAGAATTGTGTAAACCAGTTCATCTTCGGAGCTATTCGATGATGACGAAATATCTAATATATCTTCCACATCAATATCACTATCGTGATTTTCTCCGATTGCAGAAAATGCTAGAAATACAAGCATTTTCCAATCTTCATCAGCTACACCACATACTCCACTCATGTTTATTTAAAACAATCAATTTGTTTTTAAATTTCTCTATGGATTTGTATTTCTTATTCTTTTTGGTTAGAGATTATAAATAACAATACCTTGGTTCAATGATGACCTGTTGGATTGGTCTATATGGAAACAATTAATTTGTCTGGTATTATAGTTATGGACATTTTTAATTTTTATAAATTATGTTGGAATTTCTGTGATCGGTAAACACTTCATACATAAATAAATATACATATTCTCATTTCATGAAGAGTTTGAATATCAAAAAGATTTCTTGGTTTATATAAATTTATAGTCTGTTCCAGATACTTTTCATAATGCAATCGTTTTATTAAGGGTTTAAAAATTTAAAACTGTTTTGGGTGGCAGTGCGCCAAATGGGGATCATGTAATTAAATCTGGGGTAAAATACTTTTCAAATAAACCAGTGGGACAATAATCCTAAATACTTGAGAATACGTTTGACGTCTCTTTATATGTACCTTTCAGTTAAATTTCATCAACTTAGGAACCAAGTAATCGTATAATAACAATATGCTTTATTGTCCAAAGAACATCTGGTCTTATTGACAAAACTGCAAATTTTCTTCAGTCACCATAAATATGCATATATAGAAACATATAGAGTACAAATCATATTAAAATACAGAGTAAAGATATATCTGTGGAAATATAGACATACATTAAACAATTTTATCCAAACACATACAATACATACACATACTCAGGAGAGATATTACGCATTAAAGAACCTATACCAGAAAAGTTTAAAATATCAAAAATGCAGTATACCATTCTTTGTCTATATATTAAAAATACAGATTTCAAAATAAATTAGAGAAAACTGTCTCCAGAGAACTCTTAAACCGTGTTTATATACAATGGTATATAATTTTTATACTTCCACTTTTATGCTTACTTGTATTTTGTACCTTCATTACTTTAATGATTACTTATGACACTTTGTCAATAAGAAGTTATTCTTAGACAATAAAGTATCAGTATCAATAGGGTCTACCACAATAAATCTTTTACTTTTTTCATAAACTACACCTTACGATTTGATCTCCACATTTTCGTAGTGAGTAATGTACTAGTACTACAGATCTTCATTAAGTAACAGCTGAATCAATCAGATTTTTTTTTTACTGATTTCCGAAATTTAGTTATCTTCTATAATTTTAATATGGTCAAGTGAATGATTAAACATTTTAAGACAATTATTATATAGTCTGACTGAAGTAGAGGCTGGTATGGGTAATCTTGGGTGATTATCTTGACAAAGGACATAATTATTGAAGTAGCTGCTAAATATCAGTTCATGCTTTATAATCTAGACTGTTTCTAAAATAAATATTCCACAGACTGTCAACATTTTATTTAATTCAAACAAAGGTTTGCAAGATTCTCGACTTTTGGCATTGCACTTGAATCTTGTAGCTTTTTTCTGAATAATGAAAATAGTATGCAATTGAGTTTTGCAACATACTATCCAGAAAGGAATTTCATACCTTAAATGAGAATCAATGAGTGAGAAATAAGCCGATTTAGCAGCAGACAAACCAAGTTCCTTATATGTTATTCTCACTGCAAAACAACCTGAAACTTTTTTTATTGAGAGTTACAATGTGATCAGCGAATTGAAGTTTATTGTCAGTTAGTTCCCCCAAAAGTTTAGAACTGTTTATAGAAAATAATTTTGTTATTAAAAGATATCAGGATGTAAATGTTATTATCAATTTGAAAATTTACATTTAATACAATCAGAATTCAATGTTATTATACTACTGTCAAATGTCAAAACACAATGTCTTCTTCTCTTTTCATCCGGCCAAGAGAGATAGAGTAAAATTCTTCAACCTCAATACATTAAGAACAATAACAAATATGTTTTATCTACTAAAAATGATTAATTTGAGAGAGAAACATCGACATAACTGAATATTACCATAGATATATTATGATGTATATGTTTTATCCATATCAATATAAAAACTCCAATGGATTGCTTCGACCAATAAAAAACGCAATAACGTTTTCAGTGGATCAATAGATGAATCCTATGGATCAATATATATATATAGGTGTTTTAGTAGATAAAACATATTTGTTATTTTGTTCATGATGTATTGAGGTTGAAGAATGTTACCCTATCTTTCTTGGCCAGATGAAAAGAGAAGAAGACATTGTGCTTTGACATTTGACAGTTCATTATCCGGTTTATGGTTTATCGTTTGAGTGCGAAAATGGCTGGATCGTTCGGCAACGATATTTGGAAAAACTGGGATAAAAACGGAAAGCAGGAATTGTATGTATTCAAAATATCTTCATTGAACATAAATGATAACAATATTTTTCTTCACCTTCGTTAAATAGCGAACTACGTTTTTCGACAAAAACGAGAAACTGCAGCTCTAATAACATATAAATCTTCTGTAACCAATACGTATCGCTATTCCTTTGATTTGAAATGATTTCAATACATAAAATCTTTTTAAAACGTTGGCTTGAGTTTTTTGTTGATACTTTTTTCAATGATTTAAAATATATGGACATTTTTTGCCTTGTTGGGAGTGACTACTGGGTCGATCATATGCAAAGCTCGCGCAGTAAATTTGCATTTCATTAATATAATTCATTTATTGAATCAAATATTTCTGAGAGATGTATTTGTTTCACATATATACACATACAACCACACACTCCAAGCCTTTCAAAGGTGACTTTTTCAATAAGGGGCAGGATCTGTATAGAAGTAACTGAGTACACGTTAACGTAACCCTACTTTGAATTTACCAGTTGTTACAAACAAGATTTATTCTAAACAATTTACTCTATTTTTGAATTTCAGTATCAAAACTTGTATTCCACTGCTTAAAGATGAAACGAGGAATCCAGTACTTGACAAAAGTGGAAAACCAACCAATATTATTAAATATGTTAATGAATTAGTTGATAAAGGAATCAAAGGTGTCATTAAAAAAGAATCAGTAGTATCTACATTGCAGGAATTAGTGGTGAGATATTTCACTGAAATTTGAAAAACTATGTGATTCACAGTTGCATTTTTTACTTTCAGACTCTTCATCCTGATATTCCCTCAATTATATTGGATGTGTTGAATTTAGAAGATGCTAACACCTCACTAATTGACAGTGAAGATTCTAAAGATAGGAGTAATTTTTGTGCAATTGTTAAAGAATGTGAAAAGGTAAAAGTAATATTTTTATTTTATTGTTGGCATTTTAAAAATATTCATTTTTTTATTTCAGTTCTTATCTGACAAGCTATTAAAAGAGCGCTTAGAGATAGATACTTTACAGGAGGTGGGAGTTTTGAAAAATAACTCATTTTACTCAAAGTTCATTAAGGTCAAGACAAAATTATAGTAAGTATTCCAGAAATGTATGATTGCACTCATCTGAACATTCAGTATGTTCCTGAAGTGGGGTGCTAAAAAATTATCATGTCAAGACTGCCTTTGTTGAAAAGTTTATAAACAAAGGTTTTAAGATGTGATGACACAATTTCTCTTTAATGGCAATTGTTTTGATTTGAGGTGTTGCAAATTTATTTTTCTACACCCGTACTCTAACAATACACTTATATGACCATAATCCGTTTCATAATGATATCCATTATGATACAGATTTTTCATAACGATACAGATTATCAACCAATAGAAACCCATAATTTTTCAATCAAGAATCCTGTTCCTTTGTTTGTCCTAGATTTTAACCTAAGTAACAAATTGCTTTATTTGTCAAAATCAGTTGTCATATTACCTACCTATATTATCAAAATGTCTGTAAACAGCGATATAGAAGGAATACCATCGACTCCAATATTTTTAAAAGATCATATTAATTACAGTTGTTATATTCAATATAAATATAATTAGAATCTTTATAGTTTTCATATATCCATGATAATACCATTAAGTTTGTGTTTTTTTAAAAAAATATCAGTTAATTACTGTAAATGTGTTCAATACAAATATAATATTTATAGTTTTTCATTATTTATCGGGTTTAGAAAAAATAGCGTATGCAACTCTCATGTAATGGTTATTAATACACTCGCATATACCATACAAAACTCGCCTTCGGCTCGTTTCGTATCCCGGTTAATGCTCGTGTCTTAATAACCATCATTACATGATCGTTGCATAATATACTATTTTCATTCAAATTGCCTAATTTATGAGTAACCTTTTTCAGTTATAAACAACGCAAGTTTAATCTGTTCAGAGAAGAATGTGAAGGTTTTGCTAAACTGGTAACAGAATTGGCAAATGGGAATTCCGAGAGTACTTCTCCGGAAGAATTGATTAGCATAGTGCAGTCATTGATTGGTAAGTATCAGAAAAAATTGAAATTGAATATTTGATTACTTTCATTAATTTCTTGAGAGGGAAAATATAAGACTACTATTCACAAAAATTGATACCAAGAAAAATTGATACCTCCTCAAGAAAGTTACATGTTCTCAATCTAAATCATATATTTTTTTGTATAGATTTTATACGAACAATATTTCAGGTTGTTTCAATTTGGATCCAAATAGAGTACTGGATGTGATATTGGAAAGCTTTGAAAATAAACCAAACGAAGCTAGGATATTTGTTCCGTTAATCAATTATTACATGAATGATCCTAGAATTATTAGCGAAGTTCTGTCAACAAAATTTGCTTTCTTAAAAAACAACGAACAGAGTATACCTCAATCTCTTTATGTTTTGACAGCTCAACTACTCCAGCATGGAATAATTAAACTCGAAGACATTTATTATTGGGTAAGTAGTTTCATATTGACCTGTTGAATAAGTCATTTCATGACAGAACTTTTTAGTTATATCCTGAAGACAAAGTTCTGGTGAAGGAGTGCGAAAAGGATATGAAAGTTGCCAGAGAGTATGTTCGAAAACTTCAAGTAATAAGCCTCAATAATAAAGAAAAAGAGGGATCACCCGAAGAGCCTGATACTGATAATGACAAATATGTAGGTAATCAGAAACTCGGGTTATGCGAGGCACTGTTGATGGTTGGAGATTGGGAGAGTGCCAAGATCTTGATAAAAAGTTTGCCGGATCGCTATGCTGTTGGTTATGAACCAATAGCAATTTCTTTATGCGGGCTGATCCATCATATAATCGAACCGGTTTATAGAGAGTAAGTGGTTTTCATGTTTCGCAATTCTGTTCATTGCCGCTTTTGCAAAAGTTCATTGTTGTTATCAGTAGTGGAGCAGTACACATTTTGCTAGCTTGAACTACCAAAGAGGTGAAAGACAAAATTGAAAGTAATGTCTATTATTTGGATAGTACGGACATATTCCAATCATTTTAATGATTGAGTCCCTTTCAGAAGTTTTAAATGTACCATCATGAATATTAATGATATAATAATGGAATATTAATTGTTGTGTTATAGTTTTGAAATCTATTAGGAGAAAATAGTGAATCATTTTTTATTGCTGAACCCATTCAATAATTTCCATTTCGGTTACACTTGTTTGTTTTTCATTAATTAGTATTCTTATGAATGAATACAACAAGCACTTTCCCCAATCATCAGAAAAGCAACACTCTACATTCAATATGTGATTCACCAACCAAGTTGGGGTCTTGAAGAAATGAAGGAAATTAATTCCTTACTCTAAAATTAGTTTCAATTTATATCTGAAAGAGAATTCTTGCACTTTTCGATACACATTAGTGATTTTGAGTAGAAATTTGCGGGACATTTTTTCATGTCTCCGCAAATTTTTACAGAGTGAGGTAAACAATGGGACCTGTCCATAGTTCTCATGCCACACTTTGCTATTTTCAGACTTTTGAAAGAGTTATCAAATTGGTGGAGAAACGCACGTCAAGAAAATTATAGTATTTCAGGTGATTGGGAAAAGTGCTTTTTTGGATCCCTATGTTTCTGACTCATCGAAATATTTTGGTCCTAATATTTTTGATATATCATCATATCTTAACTCTTTTGTAAATAATGGAAGTTTGAATCTCCAACATTCATCAACAAACATTATCGACCATAATCATTCAAATATAGTAATAGCTGTTTTCAGAATTCTTGTAATGAAACAATGGATTACCAAATTTGTTTATTCATCTATTAATGTTTCTTTAGGATACTTATCAATTTAATAATCGATAAATTATTAAGGTATGGGGTCTTGAGCTCAAAAATACCGAGGAAACCCACTCCACCCCACGATGGCATGATGGTTCCCAAGCAGGCCGAAACACCCTTAGACCTTCGACAGACAGCTATTCCGATGCTCCTCATGCTGGGTTCTTCACTGCGTTACGACCCTGTGTTGCTTTGCAAGATAGTCAGAATGGCCAAAGCCATTCTAGCTTCGTATGGAATCGATAATGCCAAGTCTCCTCCACCTAATTGCGATTCTTTGTATAACGACATTCTATCTTTGGTAGACGAGACCATTCTGCCTGCTCTCTCCTACTTGGATTGTAACTGTTGTATAGCCGAGGAGATTTGGACTCTTCTCAAACTGTACCCATATCAGATTCGGTACTGTTTGTACTCGAGGTGGAAAAACGAGACCTACAATTTGTACCCGGAGCTGTTGAGGAAGCGGGCTGACTCGGAGAAGCAGATCAAGAACATCATGAAACGAGTCAGCAAAGAAAATGTGAAACCTGTTGGTAGACTGATAGGAAAACTGACACACTGTTCTCCAGGATTCCTCTTCGATTATGTTCTCCTCCAGATCCAAGTCTACAACAATCTGATAAATCCTGTTGTCGATTCCCTCAAGTACTTGACTAACCTCTCGTATGACGTTTTGGGATTTTGCTTGATCGAATCACTTGCGAATGCCGAAAAAAAGCGTGTGAAGCACGACAGTACTTCCATTTCGACTTGGCTGCAGAGTCTATCAAGCTTTTGTGGAGCAGTCTACAAAAAGTATACCATCGAGTTGACAGGACTGTTGCAATTCGTTGCAAACCAGCTCAAAGCACAAAAGAGGTGATTTTAAATCTACGATTTGTGATTTCTTAATAGAAAAAGGTATGTTTTAGCTTGGATTTGTTGATCTTGAAGGAAGTAGTGCAGAAAATGGCCGGCGTGGATGCTGCTGAAGATCTTACTATGGATCAGCTAAATGCTCTTGCTGGTGGAGAGCTGCTCAAATCTGAGGTATGATGCATATGAATTAACTACTTCAAAATGTGTTACAAACTTTATACATTCAATCAACAAAGCTGGAAGTTACTTGCCTATTTAAATAATGATTAATATGCTGCATTGTCCAAAGAATTACTCATAAAGAGGAAATTGTAAATATAAAATAAAAATATAGTCCAACACTAAAATCCTAAGGAAAAATGAATTTATCGATACAATTTGTAATCATCAGCGAAAAGTGACTCTTTTGAGTGTGTTACTTGAATATGCACCCTATAATTTTATTTTAAAGTTTTTATTTGGTAGTGATAATGATATTTTGCCATTCTCCAATGACAATACTCTGAACCTCAAACAACGTTTCCATTATATATCTAATAAAATTGCACAAAAAATATTTTTTTGTATCCGTATCAATAAATATTTAACTTTCTCAACATTAGTCAAAAGAATAATTCAACCTCACTGTGAGTATTGTCCAACGTTATTTTCACTGCTTGAAAATCACTCTTTAGCATCAATACAGAAACTCCCAAATATAGGTTTGTGAATTATTTTGAGGTGTAATCGATATACCCCCATTATAACAACATTTAAAGTGTTTGAGTGGTTATCAGTAAGAGACATGTTGTTTTACTTTTCGGTGATATTTATATTCAAAATAACAAAAGGATTACCCAAACCAGCCGTTTGTTCTATACCAGTATGATGTTCATAGTTGCTATATAAGAAATAGTAAAACCATCATGTACCTCCGTTCCAACTATTCAAGAACAATGAATTCTCTACTCCACAAATGTTTTCTGAAATATAACAAACTGCAGGCCAAATTGAAGCAATGTAATATGTTATCTGGCTTCAATCACAAATAATTGCACTTTGTGAAAATGAGCAATAATGCTTTGGATGGGGAAATAACTTCCTGCACAGAAAACGAGGCTATGCGTTACGGAAGATTCCTCTTTGCCATGCTGGAAACGGTCATGAGGTGGCACAAGTCAAAAGAAACCTTTCAAAAAGAGTGTGCCAACTATCCAGGCTTCGTGACTAAGTACAGAAAGAATAATCAGCACGCCGACAATTTGGACAACGTTGATTATGAGAATTACCGCCACGTGTGTCACAAATGGCACTACAAACTGGCCAAGGCAATGGTCACTTGCCTGGAGTCCAAGCTCTACGTGCAAATTAGGAATTCGCTGATAATTCTCATCAAGATCATTTCTCATTTTCCCATCCTCCTCAAACTGAGCCAATTTATTGAGAAGAGGGTCGAGAAAGTTCGTGATGAAGAGAAGAATAACCGACAGGATTTGTTCACACTTTCCAGCAGCTATTTAGGGTTGCTTAAGCAAAGGATGTCCAGTGGGCAGATGATAAAAGAAAGCGATTTTCATATACCTTTAGATAAGGAAAAGGTAGGAAATAAAAACATCGGAAGTGCTAAAGTTGTACTATCATATTTGTTTTTCATTACAGGTTGCAAAGACCCATGAAGGTGAACACAATAACAAACAACAAAATGGGGAACCGAAAGGTATGTTAGTTAATAACAAACTCAAAAGTTAGTTGTTTTTTTTCTGCTTGAGAGCAGCACTCATGGTCTCATAGGCTCAATCTTTTTCTCTTTATTATTTGTGCAGGTGCTTTCTTTGATTTTGTTTGTCTGATTTTCTAGACATGCATATAAAATATACCAAGCATCTTTTTAATCTCTGCATAGTTTGCAGCATACAAGTTATATAGTTCTATTTTGTGCAAGTTTCCTCTAAATGAACAGCGTCCTTTGACTTTAATAATTATTCACGGCCGATCCCTGCTATTGTTGAAGCAGTTAATAATCAGTCCTCATTTTCAGTCTAGTCTCAGTATTACTCAAGATCTGTTCATTTTGTTGAGGCCTCCAATTATTGTTCCATTCACATTACAAAATAGTAAATAATTTCGCCGGGAAGACTGAGTGTATTGACTGGGGTGTAGCTGTAATGTAAATCTGCACAGCTTCTGTCCAATGTTCAATTTTTGACCTTGAATATTATTCCCATGCTTCAATTCTGCCATTTTGGCTGAATGTTTAGTAGGCCACCATTGAAAAAAAGATCTATTTCCTCGGTAATCATCACTATTTTCTGTTCTATCCATCTAAATTTAGATGAACCCTAATCCCAAAGTACTTAGATTTCATCAACTGTATTGCCATGTTAGATTGCAAATTCTGATATTTAAATTTGTATACCAATATGTTGAAACCAGTCAGATCCTTGTTATGTGTTTCACCATTTCAGCCTTATATAAATTATCAATAATATTGGGCCCGAGATTCAATAGCTTCAGAAATTGCATTGTTGTTCAAAATAGCAACTTCTTTGTAGAAAACAAGGTATTCTTCATAATATAATTTATTCGAAACAAACGTTTATATTAATGTATATTTTTTGCAATATTTCAAAATTGTTTCTGTTTATTCTTTCCGAATTGTCTCATGCAATTTTTGTTTTTCCCTAGGCTGGCTACTTCAGTCAAGTTCGAAATACCAAAAAATCCTCTCTAAGGCTGAAGGAAGCGATGGCAGAAAACGACCTGGCCGTCGCCTTGTGCTTGTTGATGGCACAACAAAACTATTGTGTCGTTTACAAAGAAACACAAAAGAGTCATTTGAAACTGGTCGGCAAGCTTTCGGATCAATGCCAAGATACTTTGGTACAATTCGGGACATTCTTAGGTTCCACTTTATCCGTGGAGGAGTACATCAACAAACTTCCCTCGATACAAAGTATGCTGATCGATTATCACATTCCCTTAGAGGTGGCGTTTTTCCTGGCCAGGCCCATGTTCAATCACGCAATTAATGTAAGTTGATATATATTTTGTGTACACCTTTATTAGTAAAATTGATGGTATATTTCAGCAAAGGTATGATCAAATACGCAAATCGGACCCAAATTACAAAAAAATGTCTTCTTCACTGAAGAATCAAAAATACGTGGAAGCAATAAATGAAATAATGGAACCAGTGCATACTTCTCTGATTCCTCTACATCCTCACCGTGTATGGGAAGATATTTCTCCGCAATTTCTATCTACTTTCTGGTCGTTGACCATGTATGATTTGTATGTGCCAGAAGATGTATATCTGCAAGTCATTAATAAAGTTAAAACTCAGTCTCTGCTCAACTTGGAGAGTGGCATTAAAGGGAAGAAAGAGCAGGAACGTTATCAGACTTTATTTGAGAAGCTGCAAGACGAGAAGAAGAAGCAGAGTGAGCATGTTGATAAGATTATGTACAGGTTGAAGCAGGAGAAGGACAACTGGTTTGTATCGAAGTCTGCGAAAGTAGCTAAGAATGAAGCGATCACCAGATTCTTGCAGCTTTGCATCTTCCCCAGGTGCACTTTTACGCAGATTGATGCTGTGTATTGTGCCAAGTTTGTTCATACCATTCATTTGCTCAAGACTCCCAATTTCTCTACTCTTCTGTTTTATGATAGGGTAAGTGACTTTTTTTCTTTCGAAAACTAACTTTACAAAAGTGACAAAATATGACAAAATACTGCTTGGTGTATACAGCAGCAGGAAAAATGAAGGAGATATATTTTCTTCATTGAAACAAAATATTGAATTGAGCCGTCAGTTACCTGACTTTATTTCAAATACTAAGATTGCCTGGAATTACTAATGATTGCAGTAATTTCATTGAAATATAACTTCCAGTTACTAAGTATATTTGTTCAAAATTGAACAAAGCTTATTTTGCTGTTCTTCTGATGAAGTTATACCTGGACGAGAAAAAAATTAACTTTCACTATCCTTTGGCTTTTATTCAAATGTCCCACAATATAGTTGGGTCAAGTAACTGACTGGCACACAGTTTTCATAGCTGAAAATAAATTATGTCTTCTATTCAATATTACTAATTACGTTAAAAGTTGTCATAACATTTCCGAAAAAGAACACAAAGAGATCTATATTTTCTACATTGCATCAATTTTTTGAAAAGTCGTATAGAAGAATATATTTAACAGTTATCCAACATGAGTATGTAACAATATAAAATGAGCTATAAATTCCAAAATTCAAAATCAACCTAGATTCAAATATGAAGTTGAGAAATTTTCATTATGAAATAATTTTTATAGTTTATAATTTTCAATTAAAAAAATTAAGAATATTTCAATAGTATTTTAAGTTATAAGCATTTTACTTTGTTTTTTGGCTTGCTATGTGTTGGTGAATGAATTCAAATAATAATAATAATAATGTCATTTATTGGTGAATTCCAAAGGGTCATCAACTGAAGTCCTTCAGCCGGTGTACAATTTTTAAATATTTACAGTGATTTTTTCATATGCTCACATAATAGAATTGAGGTACATTAAATTTGTGAAAATAAAGAGGAAGAGTCCGTNCTTCATATAGCGATTTGTATAACTATGGGCTGACCAACAGCATGGGGCTGACAAAGGTTTAAAGGATATGTAAAATTTTTATTTTCAGAAAAAATCTACCCCTCTGATGGGCCTATTAATAAAATCATACCACTGAAGAGTATTCCGAAAAGTATATACCTAAATATATTCGGGAAGTGCTGGGTGGACCAACGCCCCGTTCATATACCGGGCTCACCAATATGCAATGAACAAATATATATATATATATATATATATATATATATATCAAGTTAGTATCATCCTTTGGTGGCGCTACTTCATGTTGAGTGTGTTGATTATCGACTGTGATTCTGAAAAATGTTCAGAAGGGTTTTTATATTTTCAGATGACACGTCAAAGGAAAAAGAGAAAGTTGAGAAAAGGACAGCACGTCAAGTACCTGAAGATACCAGAACAACAACGAAAAACCAAGTACCTTCAGTTGAGACGATAATGTAATTTGTTTGGAAATATTAAAGAAACATATCATATATTATTGTTATACTTCTAGACCCATTTCAAAGGAAAGAGTTGAAAAATCACATAAAGACGAACAACCTAAAGAAAAACACAGGACTGAAAAAAAGGATGATCCGGAGAAAGAAAGAGACAGAGATAAGCGTAGGGAGAGGAGGGAGGAAAAAACCAGTAACAAGGAAGACCGACAAGATAGGCACGATAGGCAGTACAGTAGGGTGAGTGGTTTGCAATGATTTCAAGTATTTTCATATTTTGATTGATTTTTTTGCCTCTTCTAGTTGCATGACGACAGATATGCCTTGACCAGCCCCAAGGAAGATGCCAGACACTCGAGCGAAAAGCAAGTTGACAGATATTATGACGAGAGGAGCAGTGGGGGCCACTATTATCGTGAGACGAGAGACGAGCGAGAGCTAGCCTCTGGTGGCAGCATTAATATAGGGAGACTCAGCCAGGAACCCGAGCCAGAAAGAGGTAATTCATTTCACAATTATATAATATAGACCTGTAAAAACTAATAGAATAATACAAGTTTATTCATTGCTAAAGTATGACATGTACGGTAATAAGAAGTGTAAATACTCAAAAATTTATTGAACTAGTGACAAAGATCTGAATAACGAAATTTAATTTTATTTTTGAAAAGTATAGAATTATTTGAAAATATTTTCATATTACTAACAAGAAACAGGCTAGGATAAAATTTGTAACGAATAGAAGTAAAAGGAAAACCTAGAGACTCCTATTCCCTTTCAGACATTTCAAAAATAAAAATTTTAAACTCAAATGTAATAGCAGTTTTTTTCTGTGAAAAACTTATGCATTCTTAATCTGATTAATGAAAGTTTGTTGTTTGCTTTGGTCTAGATACCAAAGATTTCTAACTCTAATGGAGTATGCAACAACGAACATGTAACAGTGGAACTATAAATGAGAATATTATTGAACTATTCCCCTATTTATTTTAAGAAACAAACCCTTTTTATATTAGGGATTCAAACTTAGCATATAAAAAGAGAAAATAAAAAATGCTCAAAAATAATTGTAACAGTAACATTAAAATATATCTATTAGTCTCTAATAGATATTTTTCATTGTTTCTGGTAGCCGATTATAAGTAATGATTTAATGGTTCTAACTCGTCAAGTGGTCACATTGAAACGGTTTATTTTGTTTGGTATTTTGTAAGCCTTGCAATATTTGTATGTAACCCGTTGGGTTACATATCATTATATGATTTATTTGTTAGGTCAAGTTAACGTCACCATCTTTTGAAACTGTTTGTGGTTTTGGATTTTTAGTCAGGTGAATATTCTGCCATTAATTTTATCCAAACTCCCCTTTCAGTTTTTGAAAGCTGTGGATGTATTTTTTTGGGGATTTTTATTAGGTACTTCAAATATGAACATTGTATTTAGGAAACCTTGCAACGTTAATATTCCTGTATTCCTGTGGTTCAGGCTTGTTATATTTGCACAAAATTTCACCGTTAATTATCCTAGTTGTAGGTGCCATATTTCGTTTACATTATCTTCTTTTTTCCTCGAATTTAGTCACTAGATCATTGATAACCCTCAATTATAGTACCTATAGATTATTCAGTGATAGTTTCTTTGTTTATACATATTTGAGAGAGACACCTTTCTTTCAAGATTTCACATTGAAAATTCAATCAGAAAATGTCGCATATTCATTCCGAAAAACATTTGAATTGCTTTTTTTATTTTTCAGGTAAATAATAATTTTGAACAAATTCCAAATCATGCTTCTTTACATTTTTTTTTAAATTTCATTGAAAATGGCACGTGATTTTTTTTTTATCAACTTTTTATGTTTATGAGGGTATGGAATGTAGAAATAATTGATCAGTGGCGTTCATGAGAATGAATAGAATGAAAACAGGTTCATCAAAGAGATGTGCAAAACCACCTTCAGAGGTGGTTGACACACTTTGAAATAAACGAAAGATATGATAGAGAAAATAACTTTTGTCTAATTTCAACTAAGATTTTTTATTTGTTACGACTTGTTTCATTCTTTTTTTCTCAAGGACAAAACACAAGCACTATAGAAAAATCCCTAAACCATTAGAACCATTACAATGGTTTAATAAACCGAATACCGTCATAACAAATCTTTGTAGGAATTAGACAAAAGTTATTTTCTCTATCCTATATTTAATATGAATTTTGACAAAATAAATAGGTAATCAATTGACAAAATGAGAAAAGATCTCTGGTAAACGCTAAATTCATTTTACTGCTACTGGACAATGCTTTTAAACAAACATTAAAAGGCAAAATTATAGAAATAACAATGACTATCTTGATGACTCTTTTCGGTTGTGTAATTATAGAACTTAAAATTGGTATGTAATACAACTTAGCAATGAATAAACATATTAAATAAACTCAGGACTAGCGAGAAAATAAACTATCATCTTTATTTTTCAGATAACAAAAGAAGAAAAATCGACAATTCTTCGAAGGTTAGTATCGAAGTGACGTAACACCGATGCTGATTTTAGGGTTCCATGCCATTCTAAAAGAGTTCCATTTTTGGGAGATTGGGCTGAAAATTTATAAAATTATTCAGAAAAACAAGTGTCGATTTAATAATAGTGTTTGTGAACTTTGAAAGTGTGCGCGAGAAACATTCCATTTGCTAAGTTTCGAAAGAGGAAGGAAAGAGCCCACCGTTTTCTCAAGGAGGAAAGTCCAAAGTTTTTTATCAACATCAGTTGGAGCCCAGTTTTTTTATACGTTGACGAATCACGGATGATTTTGATTGTGAGAGAATGATGAAATATATTTTAAAATGAAGAAAATAGAGTCTGAAGATGAAATAAATTGAATGTGGACTATGAAAAGTAATGATTACCTAAGAGTGTGTTAAAATCTCTTTATCACTTGGAATATTCTTACTTCTATTCGATACCGAGAAGAAAATTCAAGGAAGCAATCTATTCAATCCAAAATACTTATTTTGTTTTATGATGAGAATCAATTATAGATAAAAAAAATAAAAAGGAAATTAACACACAATGCAAACAACAAAATTGTTTTAAAAAGGAAGAGATTGAGGGTTACAGTGGAATGAAAGAAATAATTGATATTATGAGAAGAATCGAAAAGTATGACGGGATGTGAAAATAATGAAAACTTCAAAAATATCCCAGTACTAAATGAGTTACGAAAAAAGAATTGAAATGTTCATCAAAAATAGTTGGACAACATTGAAACAGTTCGTCTGATCCTGTTCAAAAAATATCAGAATGTGCTTCAGAATAATGTGAAGAAGTCACCATTTCTCTGAGTTTTTGCTGCCATCCGAACAACTCTAACAGTGGAAGGAATACAATCACTTTGTCATTTAAGAAGACGCAGCATCCATACCAGTCCAAGAAAGTTCATCCATGTGTATCGATTAAATTAAATAGAGGGGCCCTGTTGCTCTCAGTCGGACTCAGCCCAATCTTCCGCCCTGTAATTATTCTGTGGGATGGGAATGCAGCCTCAAGGTAGGTGATTAGCTCTTAAGGTTTTCCCACCTTCATTTTTGAATTGGCAATCAGAGTTGTCAATCCAGATTATTATTTTTATAAATGATGTTTCTTTGTTAAGAAAATTTTCAACTAGACAGTATGTTCCACGAGGGTATATTCTTACTTATTATTTGAAATGTTAGAAAGATGATCAAGAAATAGTTGAAAACTAGATCAAAAGTTCTATTACAAAAAAGATGAAGCTTCTAATCTACACCATTATCAAGAATTTCAACAACATTTTTTTTTCACATGGTGAAACAAGATTCAATTTAATTCTGAAATACTGTTTCTGGGCGAGTGTTTTCCCAACAAGGTTAGCATATTTGAGAGATGTCTAAGACAATCTCAGTCTTAGTTAATAATAATAAGTATTTAGTGTGTCATAAAATGCAAAATTACACAGAAAAGGACCAAGTACATATTGAAATGATATCAACCAAGGCGATACTTTGAAGGCATATTATTTAGCAGATGATGTACTAAATAAGAGCGGGGTGCCTCAAAAATTGAAGAACTATAGACAGAAATAGAAAATCTATCATTCATTGTGATATGTTGTGAATGCCCTCCTTTCGAACCAATTCTGAGGCAAAGTACTTGGGTAGTCCGGTAGCCAAGATATTGTTGACGAGACAACCGTAGTGAACAAAATGTGTTTCAGTCAATTTCAAAAGTTATATACTGATGATGCTAACTTGATTAGCAAAACTCAGGTTGAGTGACAGAATTTTTCTTGTGTTTGAATAGTATTTTCAATAGATTCATTTAATGCCAGAGGTCTATCTCATGTACGGTTCTATTTAAAAAAAAGGTTGCCTAAGTTATTGATTAAGATGGTGACTAATAGACTTTTCGATCTAGTTTACAGGCAAACGTATTTATATTGTACCTACAATATGTATGAAATTTCTTTAATACATTAATTTTTTGCTTGGATTCTTCTAAATTCTTCATATAATGATAAATATAATAACAGTACATTAGATATTCACTTGAAAATTATGATACCAACGTTGAAGTTGTTTTTGTATCATTTTGATGGATTTTAAGTATTTTTGGTAACCCTTATGCTAGTGGCTAACTTCTTCAGAGGTTCATACATCTCGAGTTTATCTGCAATGACTGGGTATTACGACTGCGTACAGCGTATTTAGGTTGACTCAGGTAGTTTGGTGTGATAATACCTGTACCTGGATTGAGTAAATTGTCAATAATGTTCGTTGACTCTTTTCTACGTGTTGTCATGATGTTGGTTATTTATTTATTTATGTCTACGGGTAATCCACATGAGGAAAAATAAATAATACAAATACAGTATTTTCTTATAACTAACTTAACCTTAATGTATGTATAAATGTAGACATATATCAATGTAAATATATAAAACTCAAATGATATATACTTAAAATTATCATCCGAGCTGGTTATCTATTAAATTCAGTTGCTACACTGTTATTTGAAAGAATTCAGTGAAATTCTTATATTGTCACAATTAAGTGGTTAGCTTCTTGCATAAACCTTGACATGGGTGAGAAGTATCCATAGTTAGTATGGTGACTAGGGACAGCAAAAATATCATTGTTCCTTGTTGAACGAACAAGTACTCGGAATGAGATTTCATGTAATAGATCATTACAATTAATGTCACATGAAATAATCTGTGCAGGACCACAAGAGAATTCACTAATGTCAAGTCAGAACCCTTTATTATTCTTTGGTTAGATCAATATTGGAGTATTGCTCATTTGTGTGGTCGCCAACATATGAAATCCATATAAACAAAATAGAAATAACTCAGAACCAATAACAGTAATAATAAAAATTAGTACTCGTAGAGTTTATGCAGACATGCTCCTTGTGGAAAGATATACATCGGAACCACCAAAAAGTCCACGGAACATAACCGAATGAACATGAAAGAAACTGCAGACTAGATCAAACGGACAAGTCGGCTGTGGCGGAACACGCCCTCAGTGAAGGAAACTACAGGATTTTGGTTGAAATCACGAAACTCGTTGCCCCAAACCAGGGTTACCTTAGCCAACTGGTCTCCAGCCTTGACAAGGCATTGCACAAAATATATATTGTGTAAAAAAGATAATTGAACAATGAACTAGAATATTGATCAATTATTATAATAATCAACAGTTTATTCATAGCAGGTTAATATGATTTACTTAATTTTAGAAAGAGTACATAAATAAATCCTTATTTCCAAGGCTTACCATTCAAGTAAAGGGTTCATTTAAGTCATAACTAGTACTATGGTAAGGAACCTTGAATAATTTTAACACTCTGATTGTTTGGTAATTTATACTCAAATTAATCAATTGCCCCAAATCTGGTCAACTGATATTACTATTTATAATATGCAGACATAATATTTCTACATAAATTGTTGAACTACAAAATTAATTGCCCAACTCTTCTCTGTCAAGTCAATCTGCATGTTCCCCTGAGGAGGACACGTAACAACCAAAGTTTCAGTCTCAACTTTCATAGGTGTAACTATGGAAAACATTCTCGTTTGTCCAGAATTCTATCAAATGCCATTGAGACCAAAATTATTTTTTTTCACCTCTCAGAGCACTTTTAGATATACTCTCCGTGGTATAGATTTATTTTTTTATCACAATTTCATTTTAATTTTCTCTATGTAGGTTGATTTATTAAATATATAGGTACTAGAATAGTTAACTTTCCACGTTGAATAAATAATTGAATAGAACTGGCCGATACTTGATGAAAATCCATATTTAAAAAACTAATCAATAGAGTTTATTCTATGATTTTCACTATAGTTATGCTTGAAGAAGCTATTGTATAGTGAAACATGTGTCGCGGTTTTTGTAAAACCCTTATAGTGAAAATCATAGAATAAATTCTATTGATTAGTTTTTTTTTAATAAATAAATGATTTTATAAAGAAGTCTGAAATCAATTCTGTCCTGATAGTGCACCAAAGTAGATAAATTCAAAAGTAGCAGAATATCGGGTCCTCTGAGGTCTGTGAATCATTGAACAAATCTCAGTAGATCAGTATGACCTTTAATATGACAGTATGACCGAACTCTATCGTTAACGGCATATCAATGTTTTTGATTTTATAAGAGTATTCAACAGGCTTCACAACTCTCGAGAATTTTATTTGCTAATACTGATTTATATTTGGGTGGAGCACGTTTATATCACACCAAAGAGATAAGTTGCTTAAGTGTAGCTTTAACAGTTCTGCATCACAAAACAAACGCTGTCAACCACCCTATAAAGTTGAGATCATCTGCGAACATTTAATGATGACTGTGGTGTATGACATCCGACATATCAGTAACAAATAGAATGAAGAGTAATGAACTTATATCTGATCCTTGAGAACTCCGAATATTACAGAAATTTGCAATGATATAGAACCAACATATTTGATAAATTGAATTTTATTTACTAAATAGCTACTATATATCAATTTTAATTTAGTACCCTTGATACCTAATACCAGGAGCTTGACTATGAGATAATGAATAACCCTGTCGACAACTTTGTATTTATTTTAGCTCGTCAAGTTTTCTATTCATATCTACAGATTATCATCGTTTTTATTTTATGCAAGAAAAATTACAGGATTGAATCTATTTGTGACTATTGTTCAACTACTACAATATTCAGACAAAATATTTCGATAGTCTTATAAGACATTTCCTCAAAGACATTTCCTTCAAACTACTGAAATATCCCAATGTAATTCAACTTTCATTTCCTTTTTTTTAACTATTTCAGTAGGCTGAAAACCCAAAACAAGCACTTTTCCCAATCACCAGAGATGCAATACTCTTCTCGACACGCTGTTGGAAGCATAAATTATTTAGCTTTTGCTTCCAAATACAGGGTGTTTTTTAAACATGTGTCAAAAAAATAAAGGGACTATTCTACAGATACTTTGTTTTTTAATGATTTTTTATAGGGCTCTTTGTTTTGAAGATCAGGGCGAAAAAAAATTTCGACAATAATAATTTTGGTAGTTTTAAAATTATTAACGTAGCCGAAATAAAAGTATAGCGTACTACACTGGATCTACTAAGTAATAAAAAATCTAACAATTCCGTTGGTACCTATCAACAACATTACGATTACAGTGGAAAATGTGGAAGATTTGAAAAATCGGATAATTTCTGGGTGTAACTCAATTAGAAACGATCCTGGTGTTTTTGAAAGAGTTCGGGAGTCGATGAGGAGACGATTGGATTGTTGCATCTAAGCGGAGGGAAGTCATTTTCAACAGTTCTTGTAGATTAAGAACCATTACATGTAGTTTTTGGTAATAAATTGTTATTGTCAAAATTCTTTTTTGCTCCGTAAAAAATGTTTCCAAAACGTAATAAAATCTTTGTAAAAACATCTCAGTTGATGGACATCCGAAAATTATAATTTTAAGTATTTCATTATCATATTTTTGTCTTTATCTTCTTGTCTTAGCAGTGGTAACCAGGTAGGATTCATCACACATACTTGATAACTAACGTCATACCTTATATTTCCAGTTTCTCTGAATTAATGAGACGAATTTGTTACAGATATGATGTAAAAACAACTTTTAGAAGAGCTAATACACTGAGATCTCATATAAAAAACCTGAGAATATGAATGATAAAATGGAAGGATATGTTTATAGCATATTTTGTTCCTGTGACCTAAAGTTAACTAAGTGAAGACCTCTAAGTGTGATTAAAAAACATCATATATAAAATACAGAAACATAACATAAATAAAATACAGATGACAGTATAGGGGATAGTGGATTTTATTTAAAAATCAACTGGTGCACACTATGAAATAGAATGAAATAAAAATTGTCTTGAAAGAACCTAACGAAAGAGCGACAACCAATTATGTGGAAATAGATTTTACCTGTTTCAATTGATAGACAAGAGGTACAAGACGGAAATATTAATTTGGGCTGAGTTATCAGACAATATTTTGTGTATAGGTGTGATTATTCAAAATACTGAATGTAAAACCTGGACATTTATTTTTTCATCAGATTATTATATTCGATAAGCAATATTTATAAAAACGATCAATGACTTGATAATTGGACTGTTCAGTGGTTTATATTACACTCGAACAGATCCTCTGATGTTCTACATTTATTTTTCAGATCATGGGAATATATCAAGAAATGCTATTGAAAATATTCACCAAGTGTCAAGTATTAATTTTGATAAACAATGCTATTCCCTTTTATATACTCTTAAAATTTTGTGTACTAATGTACCTGAAAATTGCTCCTTTATTTAGGTTATAATGAAAATTATTTTCAGTGGTATCGACTATTTGCTTCATGGTTATTTCAATTTTGTATTTTTTTAAATACATGAATATATAAATTTCGATTTATTTATCAGTCTTCATTTTGTAGGAATACCAGTTAGACCAAGATAATGGCTTTATCAGATAACTGGTAGCATACCAAATAACTGGTACCAAAAATGAACAAAATATTATCTTTGATGATCGTACACACGTCACACGATTCAAACTAAAGTCATTAAAAATATTCCCGAAGATCATCTTTATGATGAAATACCAGATGAACTGAAAAAAAGAAATGAAGTTATTACTAACCTTACAACTAAAAAAATTTGATGATCTCTTGAATAATCAAATACCTATTCCTGGTTTGCAATGTTTTATATTGAAGAATGTTCTGATTTTTATGTTGAGTTAAACTTACAGCAAGCTCTCTTCGTAAGATTGTTCATTCATTATAATCTATTTGTTCAAAAATATTCATCCATGAATAAATGTATATTATTAATATTGGTAAAGGTGCACAAAATAATAACTGAAAAGAAAGAAATAATTGAATCTACAATCCCTCTTTTCATGAGTATAGCACCTCGGTTTTATATTCTGCGTCCATTTTTGTACCAACATAATAATCTTGTTTCTCTCTTATAGACTATATTGTATTCCGAAATGTGTGTAATAATTTGTATTTTCATTTTAATATGGAGATACCATGTATTTTCAATTTTTCGTAGATGTTTCAATAAATTAATGAGTTTTCATATGGAGTGCCCAAACTCATGGAGCCACTAATGAAAACAGTGAGAATAGTTTTTTGACACATGGATTGATTCTTTTGGAAATACAGGTCAAAATAATTCAAAAGAAAAGGGTCCTCTTCTGCGAGATAAATTACGAAACTTACTTGTTCCTTTGTATGTATGGCTTATTATGTTTTCTATGGAAAACTGATCATTGGATGATTCAAATTCTTGTAACTTTTTGGTTTCATAAAAATTATGTTTTCCATTTATTTTCTACACAAGCACTACTAAAAAATCCTAAAGGTGCTATAAGACCGGTGCCTTTGCGAAAGTAGCGATTCACATTGGATTTCAATCGCTGGAGATTGAATCCATTTGGAAAAACGTTCTCATAAAGTTTCTTTCACATAAACGTAGTTCTCCAAATGAAGGAGTTCTCATTAATAGAGTAAATGCCTAAAAATTGACTCTATAAGAATGTACCTACTTTATTTTCGCAAATTCATTATACCAAAGGCTGCTTCCCTCTCTCACTTTTAAAATATTTATTGTATAGAAATTTGTCAAGAAAACCTGTGTGTTGTGTCAATGCTATCGAATGATGGGTCTGGCGCAACTCCCAGTCGACAATATACTTCTAATGTCAAAACCGTGGTTGTCTGCAGAATTCCAAGCACGAAGAACGAAAAGTGCCGCCTCTCATCGATTTTCCAATAGAAAAAGACAAGCGAGAAAGAGCTGTTAAGCCAAAAGAGAAACGCGAAAAGTTGACGGAAGAAGAAAAGGAACTGCGCAAAGAGAGGAAGCTGGGAAGGAAGAGGGTTTGTAGTTTTTTCTCATACAAAATGTTTTGAGTTATCAAATCTCTATATTTCTTTCACAATTTAGAGTGAAAGAAAACAATAGTTTCGATCAAAAAGTCGCTTATGATGCCCTCTACCTCTACGGAAGTATAATGCCTGAATATAAATTTCATTTTTACAGGATAGAATTGATGAAGCGATGCAGCAAGAAATGAAAAGAAGGCGAGAGGAAGACAAAAATCGTCGGGAGGAAGAAAAAGGTGATTTTGAAGAATAAAATCTTTAGAGTTCAACGATTTTATATATTATTGCTTTTACAGCCTTCAAAATGATGACGTCACCCAATGGAGAAATAATTGAGCCCCCTATTCATCCTGGCCCTAGGGATAAGCACCACCGAACGAGAGTATGTTTCAACAAATACTCTCCTGATGTGAATTAATTCAATGAATGATTTTTTTTTTTTGTTTTAGGAAATCTCACCATATCAGAGGGATAGGTCGCATGAAAAATCCGAGCCACGAGATAAGCAATATCCTTTTAGAACAAAATAACGACTTTGAATTATCAATTATTTGACTTTTTTATCACGATTACTGTCGATAGTATATTTTCTTTTTTTTAATTTGGTGAAAATTATGAAATTTTGTTTCATAATTTGTATTACTTTCAATTTAGTGAAATATTTTTCTTAACTAAACTTACCAGAAGGAGCTCGGAGAACAAAAGGAGATAACCATTACCAATACAAAACTGAATATTTGTTGGCCGAATGTTGAAATGCAGGAGAAAACTGATTTTACATGTTTAATTTTATATGTGATCCCAAGAGTTATATGTAATAAAACTGAAAAAAAGTGTTTTTAATATTTTTTCTTGAAGTGACATGACCAAATATGAAATATATTCGAGGAATAGTTGGTTTTGAAGTTTTTCACAAAAACACAAAATATCTCGAAAAGTGAGCCAGATAGAGAAAAACGGGTTGTGTGCTCAACTGTCGGTTAGCTCTACTTTTGATATTGGAAGTTGGTTCGATTCCTACTTGCAAACGTCTGCACATCGTAGCCCCATCTTAGGAATTGCACGTTGAAAGGTAATCCTTATCTCACAAAAGTTCGGGTATTCAGATCGGGTACAACTTTTTTTTCAGTTCACATACTCCACACCAAAGTACAATCAAAAGAAAAAAATGTTTTTTGAATGATAAAATATGCGGATACATCGTTTTATTTAGAAGTGTCGCTGATCGAAAATTTGTCCCTTCAATTATGTCTGGGTGTGCAACTAATAATAGCTGAAATTATAAATATAGAAACTAGACAAAAGTATTTTCTATATTCAACATGAATAAATAAATAAGTCATCAATCGAACGAGCTGAAAGTATATTGCTGATCACCTAACCTTAAAAATGGAATAACCAGACTATTTAATGAAAACTAAATTATATACATAAAAACTAGTTACATGCTTCACAATATGTCGTGAAATGCTCTACAAATACATCAGTGCATCAGGATATTTAAAAAATCTTTCGGGATGTTAATTTTGAAAAACAAAATTGATTTTGGTTATTTTGTTGTTAGGATATCTTCGTGTGAAATCCTTGCAAAACAGGAAAACCGCTCTGAAAATGCCTAGTTTCGAAATAGAATATTTCATAAAAACGCAAATATCTCGAAAACCAGGTAAGACAGAGAGTAAACGAGTTTTTATTGAATGTAAAACAGTTTTATAAAGACTAACGAAAATAGAATCGCCGCGGTTCCAATAAGAAATGTATCTCTCTATGTTATTGGCTTTTGCTTCCATTCAGGCAAATAAGTCAAATTAGAAATGTCTTTCTTGAGTTATTATCAGTATTTGGAAAGACACTAGTATCTAGCTAGAGGCAAACAACAGATTATGATTATCTCAAATAACAGTGGTTTTGGCCTACGAACATCTCTCTAGATAATAATATAAGCAATGTCTACATACCAACAACAGTCTTAGGAATATCGGTATGACAGGTGACAAACAGTTGATTTGGAAATATAGTAATGCCTGGAGACAAACACATGTTTTGGTCATATCCGAGTAGACTTGTCTAGAGACTTATCATTTGTCCAAAAATATCTAAAACTCACCTTTTTTAAATAAAATATGATTGACCAATAAACAATCTGTCTGATCCTAACATTGATTTCGGAGCTAACCGATTACATTTTTTCCCGCTCTCGTAGATACCGAACACAGAGCAGATTTAAATAGGAAAAGGTGGCATTATCAAATGCTTGACTAGCAAAGTGAGTTTATTGAGCGTTCAGATTTGTAATGAACGAACACACCTATAGATGACTAAAATATTTTTCTCTGACATTTTGCTTAAAACAGTTGGTGGTCTCTGAAAAATCTCACCAAAAAGTTGTCTGTTTCTGGACATTCCGTCCAAAAAGATTTTTGTTATAAGAATTACTCAGCACCGTTCAGAATGACCGTCTGTTAGACCTATTCATTTTATCTGCCGCTACACATGCGAAGAATGGTTATTTGTCTCCAGACATTGTGCTCCAAACGAACGTTGGTTCTAGGCAGTCTGTCAAAATTATATCTATAGAAATTCTACCCAAACGATGCACAAAACAATTTTTTTCTTCTAAGGACAAAACACAAGCACTACTAAAAAATCCTAAAGGTGCTATAAGACCGGTGCCTTTGCGAAAGTAGCGATTCACATTGGATTTCAATCGCTGGAGATTGAATCCATTTGGAAAAACGTTCTCATAAAGTTTCTTTCATATAAACGTAGTTCTCCAAATGAAGGAGTTCTCAAAAGTGAAGTTCGAGGTGTACTGAGTTGAACCTCGAAACGATGAGCAGCCACAACCAAACTGGAAATAGGATATATATAATATTCCAAACAATTTGTGACACAATTGTTAAGGCATGGAAACCAAATTCAGTTTCGAGGGCACTAAGCCCTTGAGTTGGCTGTAGTTACAGCAAATATCAACAGTTATAGAAATATCTGTTGAAGAATATTCAACTACTCAAAGAGAGAACAGAAGATTTTTTGAAAGAAATGTAATTGGTCCTTAGAGACATAAACACTGGAAAGGGGCTCTGTAACGTGTTGCTAACCACTAAAAAAGAAGAAGAAGTCGTTATAATTATAACCTGCTCATCTGTTTTAGGTTTTGGTGTTTTTATTATATGTTTAATGAAAATTGTTGATAATGGATCTGCTTTCAATTTCAAAAAAAGCTGAAAAGAAATTGAAAAAACTGCAACATGTTATATTCAAAGAAACTGGCACTTCTTGTGTCTCAACTCCAACAAAGGTAGGTATGTACTAAGTAATATTTCTTCAATATGATTGTTTTTGAAGCACTTCTTTTCCCATATGAAGAATAACAGAATTGTATATACTTGCATTGTAAACTTTCAGAATTTGGTAATTTGCAATGTCGGTCTGGTGAATGGATTATCCGAAGAAATCATTTATGAACACTTCTCAAAGTATGGTGCTCTAGAAAACATAATGCTAATACCTGGCAAATCTTGCAGCTTTGTAACTTATAGGGATCTAGATTCTGCACAAAAAGCATTCAAATACTATAATGGAAAATTAAATATTGCCCAAGATGATAAACCCATTTATTTACTATATACAGATCAGTTACCGATTATCGAACCAGATAAAATTTGGAACAAAATGCCTCCGGGTCTGGTGATATTAAAGGATTACATTTCACCAGAGGAAGAAAAGTACTTACTGAAGTTGTTCAATTTCGATTCAACTACCAACCAAATGAAACATCGTCAAGTAAGACACTTTGGATACGAATTCAGATACGACATAAATAACGTTGACAAAGATAAACCCCTGGAAGAGAAAATTCCAAACGAGTGTGACTACCTCTGGACCCGATTGCAAAACACAGATTTCAAACATTTCCGTCCTGACCAGCTAACAGTCAATCATTACAGCCCTGGTCAGGGCATTCCTCATCATGTAGACACCCATAGCGCCTTCGAGGATCCTATAGTTTCACTGTCTCTGCAGTCGCCAGTAGTAATGGACTTCAAAAGGGGGGCCAAGCACTTCTGCGTAACTCTACCTCAAAGATCTTTGGCTATAATGTCAGGTGAGAGTCGTTACGATTGGTCTCATGGCATCACGCCTAGAAAATTTGATATTATTCATTCCCTCGGCAGCTTCAACTCTCTAGAGAGAGGAACAAGAGTCTCGCTGACTTTCCGTAAGGTTTTACAAGGAGAATGCAATTGCTCTTATAGGTCCAACTGCGACTCGTCCAGAGAGCAATCATTAGAGCTTGAAATGGGAGACATAGTAGCGTCAGACTTGGAGAAGGAACATGTTCATAAAGTGTACGAGAACATAGCATTACATTTCAGCGATACGAGGCACAAGCCTTGGCCCAATGTACTAGACTTTGTTATGTCCTTCAATCGCGGATCCATGCTTGTCGATGTCGGCTGCGGAAACGGAAAATATCTTGGATTGAATAGAGATATTTTTGATGTAAGTAAAATGGCATATTAAAGTAACACTTCATTGTGAGATTTTCAATGAAAACAACTTCGGCAAAGAAAATTGATGTCTCAGTGGAATACAAAAACTTGTGTTGACTAATTAGGAAAAGAAAAAAATGTTATAAGGCTTCTATCTTTGAATATCAAAAGAAGATAGTAGTATTATAGTTATTATACATTATTATATAAAATATGTGTTGTGTGCTCTGTGAACCAGAGTTTGACCAACAGTATCACAATCAGTAAACAAAATCGATTTAAATACTGAACAAAACTGGACACAACACAGAAATTTGTCACACTCCATACCCAAATAATGATTTTTTTTTATTGTCTAAAAATATCTAACATTTTAATCTGCACATTTTGGATCATATTCAATAAAAGATGGTGCGTTTTAAAGTACTTTTCACTTTGATTCATCAACAACACATTTAGTAGATATATGTGTGAATTATACCTTCTGTATTTTGTTATTCAGTTCATTGTTGTAGGCTTATATTTTCAGTAACAGGCTTATGCTCCTAGGCTGAATGATCAAATGGTTTCAGATTGGTTGCGACAGAAGCTTTGGACTAATTGACGTATGCAGTCGGAAAGGATTTGAAACTTTCATGTCCAACTGTCTGGCATTACCTTTGAAAGACAATTCCGTAGATGGCTGTCTCAGCATAGCTGTTATTCACCATCTAGCAACTGAAGTAAGTCTGTACACAAGTCTATCACAGAATTCTTGAGATTATTTCTAGGAAAGACGCTTGAGAGCCGTTCAGGAGATGGTTCGCATCCTGAAAGTCGGAGGAAGAGCCTTGATTTATGTCTGGGCTAAAGATCAACACAAAGGAAAACAAAAGAGCGCTTACATCATGCAGGATAGAAAAAATCGAGTGGCAGAGCAGGAAATTTTGTTCAACGAAGTCAACGAGGAAGTGCCTATATCGGACCGAGTAACTTTGCCAATTCACGTTAACAGGACACAGTTCAAACATAAGGACGTTCTGGTGCCTTGGAAGCTCAAGTCCGATAACAAGTTGCAAGACACTTTCCTGAGGTTTTACCATGTCTTTGATGAGAAAGAGTTGGAAAATTTGTGCAGGAAAATAAATAGCGTAGAGATTATCAAAAGTTATTATGACCAGGGAAACTGGTGTATTATAATTGAAAAAAAGTGATAGTTTTTTTATTTTCGCCCTAAAGGTTGAGGTTATGAACTATTAACCCTTTTATCAGGTTTGAGGTTACACATCACTCCCAAAGTGAAGATGTGTAATGGTTTTGTTGTTGTTTTGTTATCAATAATTGTATTAGTCATGTTTTGAAAATAATATTGTGTCACAGAATAATCTATTTAAGAGTTCTTGAAATAGTATATAATGATTAACCTTCCTTGACTTTTCTGCAATGAAATGATAAAACATTCTTGTTCTCTGAAATTCTCTATAAGATGTTATTCAAATCAGTCATATTGGTTTTGGGCATTTTACTCAGTTCGCAAGCAGAAGAATACAGTGATTGCAGTGTCTTTGCCAAGTACCTTGCCAGTGAAAAATATTGTGCTTATAATCCCGATACATATTTAGATGTGGTAAGTATGGTACTTCTCCAAAAATCTGTGATTATTCAACATTGACCTCATATGAATCCGACCTATTGATTATTTATTCAAACCACAGTGCCAAAAATAGTAGCCTTTCAAATTTTGCATTATATTAAGGATTCAATGTACCAACATAAAAAAATCGCTAATCAAATGTACGTAGCCCTTATTTTTCGTATATTTCCATTTTGTTTTAGGTTTTCTGCTTGCCGATAAGGGTTATGATGTCTGGTTGGGGAATGCAAGAGGTAATGTTTATTCGAAAGGACACATTTCGATTCCTGTAACAGATTCAAATTTCTGGAATTTCAGGTGAGATATAAAAAAAACGAGTAAACTTTTGATATATTCATTGAATTTTCAGTTTCAACGAAATGGGTACTAAAGATTTACCAGCTGCTATGTATTATATTAGCAATTCGACAAACAAACCTGGAGAAATCATCTACGTGGGTCACTCAATGGGCACCACAATGTTCTTCGTATTTGCTTCACTAAAACAGCAGGCAGCAAAAAATGTGAAAATCATGGTTGGGTTGGCACCAGTAGCTTATGTTTCTCGCATGAAATCTCCCATCAGATATTTGGCACCTTTTTCAAATGATTTTGAGGTGATTTCTTGTGAACAAATGTTTTTCACATTTGATTAATGTTTCATAACAAAATAGTTCAAAACATTTTTCAAATTTTTAGTGGTTGACGAAATATTTGGGGATTGATCAGTTTTTACCTAATAACAAAATACTCAAACTGCTGTCTTTCCAATGCGAAATATTTAAAATCGACAAAAGTATTTGTGAAAACATTATATTTGCTATTTGCGGATTCGACAAAGATGGATTCAACCAGGTAGGTACCATCAATGCTAGTAAAAAGCGTTAACAGATTCGTTTCCTCAAAAATTATTTTGCTTGCTTTCAGGACATTCTTCCCGTAGTGTTGAACAAGGATCCTGCAGGCACATCCACCAAAACAGTGATACACTACGCCCAAGAAATTAAAAACAATGGTAATTTTCAACAATTTGACTATGGAGAGGAAGGTAATATCATTCAATATGGATCCAAAAATCCTCCGACCTATAATATTACTAGTATACGAAGACCGATCTATTTGATGTACTCAATGAATGACTGGCTTGCTGATGAAGTAGTAAGTACTTCTAGAAATTCGTATATTATAATTCTGTATGAATTGTTTCAACTTGACTTTTGAATGTGAACTCACCACTTTAATATTTCTTACCTTTTTTGCAATTTGTTAACGTTTACAGAATATCTTGCCCTGTGATAATTTAATATTTATATTCTCTTCATATGCAATTTCCGATGCTGATCCTGCCATCTTGCTGCTCCGCCTTCTTGCTGTGCCCTAATTTTTATGCTAACTGAAGACATTTTTTTATATTTACAACATCATTATTGAAAGTTTCAGACATTTTAATATATATTTTCCATTTCGGAAGGTACTTGAGTGGAATTTATATCATCATGGGGTGTTATTTTATTATTTAATAAAATGCATTCCATTTCTGGCTGTTCTCTTTCAATTTCTTTTCAGTATCAGAAAATTACAATAATTCGTTTTATAATTCAAAACTTTCAAATTGAAACGGTTGCTACTAATATAGATATCAATTTCTTGACATATGAGGTAGACTTTGTGACAAATCACATCTATTTCATTTATTTCCATTTTAACTTAGTATCGTTTCGCCATCTGGTGAATTTTCTCGGTAACTTATCCGCCGCAGTGAAGGCCGATTCCAGTTGTTTACAGTTTTCTACCGTCCTTAATCATAAGTAGCGATGTCCCTCATGCCCTCCGGGATAGGCAACCAATATTTCATTTTGACGGGTTTTTTGCATTGGCAAAATATTTCCAGGGTCAGGTTTTTTATGAACGACTGTCGAGATTCATTTTCGTCCCTAGAGACCTGAGGGGAACGGTTTTTGATGCGCCATATTTGCTCGATTGTTCGAAGATTCTTCTTGTTTGCTCTTTAAAGTGAACTTCGTTCTAAATTACCTTACTGTGGTCCTTAAGGACAAGATTCACCGTCGAATCCCGTGCCTGTAATTATTTTAAGTGGGTAATGGTTTTTATTACTATAAACGATGTAAGACGTGTGTGAAGTTTTTATTAACTACTTTTAACTATTTTATTAAAACATTTGTAATTATTTTAGAACTGAGTCAACAACCAAATAAGTACTCTGTCTCCCCTTCGAACTGAAAATAGATTGTTTCGCACCTTATCCTGTGTCTCATTGGATCAGCAGCAACCCCTTTTCAAAAAACCCTGAGATTGAACCCTTACAACTTTTTTTACAAAATTCATTTAGTGAATTGATTTGTATTCTATAGTTCTGAGTTTATTATAAAAACAAAAAAAAATAGAGTAGGTTCGACACCACGAATTAATATATTTTGTATATATTATACAATATATAATTTTTTTAATACTTGGTGAGCAGTGTTTATGACAGATGATATTCAAATTGGTGGGAGTAGCTACGAGCCCAATACCAGTTTTGGTGTTTTTATTATATGTTT